CTGGTCCTATGTGCCACAGAGAGATCTGATCAGATCACTGGGGAGGAGTAGGGCGTGGCTGTAGGAGGAGGTTGCCCGAGGCAATGGTAAACAGTCTAGGACAGGATTGGCTGAGAAGCTGAATGCCTCCAGACAGCATGGATTTGTGGGTGAGAAAGTTTGAAATAAAGAAGGGATCTTCAGTTCTTGAGCTTGCTGGTTCTCTGGCTCTCCTTCTTCCCAAGTATGCCTGGATGATCGTGCTGCAGCTGCCTGCATTTCCCAACACAGAGGCAAATGGGGAGGAACTGAAGTGTCTGGAATAAGGGCAAGAACTGGGGGGCAGCTTTGTGCCAGACAAGTGCTGACAGAGGTTACTGTTGCTTTCCTGAGGCTCCCCCCACCCTTAAAGAGCTGGCTAGCAAGTGCCATACCTGAGGCTCTGTCAACCTGGCTTACGCTGTTTGCCCCACCCTGGTGATCCCCTGAGGTTCCACCCCACCCAACATTCAAATCCACTCAAGTTGTTTCCAGTAGCTTTTCCATTCAAACAGCTTGTCTTGGCTCAAGCTTCAGATTTTCCTAAATTCTAACAAGCAGCACCTGGCTATAGCAAGCCCTATACCTCTTGCTAAAGGGTCACAGGCCTGGCATTAGCAGAAGTTGGTCTTGGTTCATAGTTTGGCCTTTCTTGGGCACCTCCAAGACTGGCACAAGTAGCAGCCATCTACAGATTGTTGTGTAGCTTATACCAGGTGGCATTGGGCCAAACACAGGCAGTGCCTGACCTTGGTCTGCACCTCCTGGGAAGCCCCAGAGCCTGTACACCTAATGGACAGCTACACATCATGTTGGAGTACCACCCAACCAACTCCACAAATGATACACTCAATGGATGAATTCAGCAGGTACCAGAGCCTTGCTAAAGTAAGTCCTGCTTTGTTGAGTGGTCCTCTACATTGCTGATCTTCCACAGAGATCAAAGATTGGCAGTCAAGGGTCACAGCCAGTCCTTGAAGCTGATCAGCTTGGGTAATCCCTACCATTGACTTGCTAACAACAATCAAGTTTCAACCTCAAGAAGAGTATGTACACAGCCCACACAAAGGGCACAACTCAAGTACCCAGCTTAGGTGATGAGGAGGCTGTGTCCCTGAACCCTCCAGGACATGTACTACATTAGGCCACACTACCAAGACACCGAAGTCAAAGCAGCTCTACCTACTACATAGAAACAAACACAGGGAGGCTTTCAAAATGAGGAGACAAACAAACATGGCCCAAATGAAAGAACAGAAAAAAACTCCGGAAAAAGAACTAAACAAAATGGAGATCAGCAATCTATCAGATGCAGAGTTCAAAACACTGGTTATAATGATGCTCAGTGAACTCAGGTGAAGAGCAGATGAACTCAGAACTTCAACACCAAAAAAATAAAATGGCATGGAAACCATAAAAAAAAAAAAACAGACATGAAGGATACACTCAGTGAAATGAAGAACAATTTACAGGGAATCAACAGTAAAGGGGATGAAATTGAAAATCAAATCAGCAATCTGGAATATAAGAAAGAAAAAACACCCAATCAGAACAGCGAGAAAAAAAATTTTTTTAATGAGAATAGTGTAAGGAGCATCTTGGGCAACTTCAAGTGTACCAACATTAGCATCATGGGGGTGCCAGAAGAAGAAACAGAGCAAGAAATTGAAAACCTGTTTGAAAAAAATGTCAGAAAACTTCCCCAACTTGGTGAAGAAAATAAACATGCAAGTCCAGGAAGTGCAGAGTCCGAAACAAGATGAACCCAAAGAGGTCCATAACAAGACACATAATTAAAATGCCAAAGGTTAAAGACAATGAGAAAATCTTAAAAGCAGCAAGAGAAAAGCAGTTAACTATAAGGGAGTTCCCGTAAGACTGTCAGGTGATTTCTAAAAAGAAACTTTGTAGGCTAGAAGAGACTGGTAAAGAAATATTCAAAGTCATGAAGATCAGGAAACTACAGCCAAGACTGCTCTACCCAGCAAAGGTATCATTTAGAATGGAAGGGCTGATAAAGTGCTTCTCAGACAAGAAAAAGCTAAAGGAGTTCATTACCACCAAAACAGTATTATATGAAATGTTAAAGAGTCTTCTTTAAGGAGATCAAAAATATGAACAACAAAATAGCAGTAAATACATATGTATAATAATTGAATCTAAAAAAACACACACACACAAACGAACAACTAGAAACAGAATCATAGATAGAATGTTTTGATGGTTGCCAGATGGCAGGGGCACTCAAGCAGATGGGTGAAAAAGATGAAGGGATTAAGAAGTACAAATTGGTTGTTACTAGTCATGGGGATGGAAAGTACAGCACAAGGAATACAGTAGCCAAATAACATATATGCATGACCCATGGACAGGGACAATGATATGGGGATTGCCTGAGGGAGTGGGCAGGTTTGGGTGGAGGGGTAAAAGTGGGAAAAATTGGGACAACTGTAATAGCATAATCAATAAATTATAATTTAACTTTTTTAAAGATTTCATTTCTTTATTTTTAGAGAAGGGAAGAGAGGGAGATAGAGAGGAAGAGAAACATCAGTGTGTGGTTGCCTATCATGCACCCCCTCCTGGGGACCTGGCCTGCAACCCAGGCATGTGCCCTGACTGGGAATCAAACCAGTGACCCTTTGATTTGCAGTCAGGTGCTCAATTCACTAAACCACACCAGCCAGGGCTAATTTAAATTTTTTAAAAAATATCCTTGTGAGCCCCCTGGAATATCTTTGCAACCACAGAGGGGAAATGTGTGCCCCTTTAAAGCACATGACTCCAACCAAGGGGAATTATTCTGTCTACCACTCCATACTCACAGTCAGAAACTCTTTCTTTCCTCTTTCTCCACCCCATATGCCACCCACTTGGCATACCCTCTGACCTCAGTTTACACAGCTGTCTATGCAGCATCTTGCAGATCTCCCTCCTGCAGTGGTCACAGGACACTGAAATGGCCAAGCTCTTCATTGGGGCTACTACTGGATGATACTCTTGTGAGCAGAGACCATGTCTGCTGGGTCCATTGTTAAATCTGCACACCAGCACACAGCTTCACACAGAACATACATTAATAAAGGAAGCAACCTACCGATAATCTGCCTTCTTCCCCCAACCCACATCTTCACCTGTATTGGTTACCTACTGAGGAGTAACAAACTCTCCCCAAATCCAGTGGCTTAAAACAATCACCATTCATTTTGCTCATGGTTCTACAAGTGGGCTGGGTGGTTCTGGTCTGGGCTGGCATGGTCAGCTGGATCTAGGCAGGGCCTCGTCTGGGACAGCTCATTCCTGCCCTACTTGGTCTTCTCACTCTACAGGCAAGCCCTCCTCCCTCAAACCAGAGTGACCACGTGCTTCCCAAGAGCTCCAAGTGAAGGGAAGCCCAGTGCACAAGCACCTACAAGCTGCCACCCATATCTGCTTTTGACTGTCCCATTGGCCATAGCAGATCACACAGCTACTCCCGATGGAGACAGACTCTGGTGGACATCTCTGCAGTCTACCCCAGCATATCAGCAACACTGAGGTGGTTGCTGCCTTTTGTAACTCCCCTTCATGTGATGTTCCTTTCAGTGCAATTTCACCAGGATACAATTAGGGTCCCAGTCCCTGACTCCCACTCAAAGATACTCACCCCTCACTCCCATAGTGGGTTTCATTTCCTTGTCTTTAAATTTTCTCCACTCTGCCCTCTGAAAGCCTTGATCCACCTCAGGCTTCAGACCTCCAGGACCAAGCTCACCCACAATTGAGACAGTGAGTCTCACCTGAGTTCCCAGGGCTCTCCCAGATCACTTCATTCCTCAGTCACCGAGTTTAGCAAGTTCTGTTTGCAGAGATGAAGATGATTCCCCGCACTAAGCTGAGCGAAAGCTTAGATCCAGTTCACTGACTTGCCTTTCCCTCCAGAGGTTCCACAGGTGGCAGTCCAGCCTTGACAGGCACCAGACTTTATCACAAGACCTGTTGCTACTGGAGGCTAGAGGCTTTTCTCTTGTGTTGATCTTCAAGTTGACAAATGTGAAGAACCACAGGCCCCAAATGGAGTCACTTGTGCCTAACTTGTGACAGCAAACCAAGACTTAATACCTGACTTATCCACAATTTCAACCTTCTCCAGGAATGCAATCTTAACCAATCAGTCTGGAATTTTCTGGTCAGTACCACAAGATAGTCTGTCATGACACATAACACAGGTGCTTGATAAACACCTGTGGGATGAATATGAATAATGACAAATGCAGGCAAGGACCACAGAGGCAGCAAACAGGATGCTGAGTTATAAACACAGGGTTTTAAGGTGGATGCAGCAGATCCATTTTGTATTTGAAGCAGCTGCTTTGCAATGCTCTGCCTCTGGTATCAGCTGTTTCATTTTCCTATGAAGACCTTAGCCCTACCCTCCACCTTTAAAACAGTTAAGCATTGTGAGCTCTTAACATTTTTGAGGTGAGCCACTCAGTAAATTTGACCTTCAGGTCTTCGCCAAAGGTTTGGACTTCACTGATATAGAATCTTGGGTAAAAGGCCCAGTTTTCAGGAATATTTAGACAGCAATTCTGCAGGCCTTCCATTGTTTCTAGATTTTCTAAATTATATTCTTGTGTCCCAGAGATATATAGCTTCATCCCCCCTTACCTGTGGGGGTACCTTCCAAGACATTTTAGGAGGCCCTCATTTGGCCTCCACAATAACTCAGAGGAAAGAGTACTTCTGCAGGCTAGTCTGGTGGGGGCAGAAACAGGAGCGCAGAGGAGCTCCTACACCCGGTGGCCCAGGGTCAAGGTACAGGTGCATCGTCAGCTGCTGCAAACAAGAGCATATGGAGTAAATCCCAAAGGATGGGAGGGCAAGAACTGCATCTGACCCCAGGCAATCAGCCAGGTCAGAGCAGGAGTCGAACCTTGGGTTTCAGCTCACGTGGAAGAAAACCACAGCCCACCCAGGGAAGGGAAGGACAAGCACACAGGCAAATGGCAACTGAGATTTATTTAAATGATGAGTCAACAGAACAGGAAGTGGTGCAACAGCCCTAGTAACTGGTTTCTCAACTGTGGAATGGAATGGTCGATGAGGCCTGGCCATCACTCAGGAGACTTGTATATCAACTTCAGGAAGGTCAGTGGCTGCAGCTTCTGGCTCAGCATGAGCCTGGAAAAGGTTAGTAAGTGATCTCCTCCAAACCTGAGGGAAACAAACACACAGCTGAGTGACTCCCAGTGCCAAGGAGAGAAAACACAGAGGTGGGAGAGTGTGACCCCTCTGGGCCCCAGCTTCCATGGCTGGTCCTGAGCACAGGCCACACCTTGGGCACTGGCCACACCCCTAACCACTGCAGTTCTGGTCTCCTGCTTCCTGAGATTTCACCAGGAAACAAGCTGTGTACAAGGCTGTGTTCATTGGTGGTTTTAAAGGTATGAAGCAAGCACCATCAGCCCTGGCCAGTGTGGTTGAGTTGGCTGGAGTATCATCCCAAAAACCAAAAGGTCACGGGTTTGATTCCTGGTCAGTGCACATGCCTAGGCTGTGGGTTCGGTCATCACTGTCAGGGTGCAAATGAGAGACAACCAATGTTTCTCTCCCTACCCCTCCCTTTCCTTTTCTCTAAAATTCAATAAGCATGTCCTCGAGGGAAGATTTAAAAAAAAGACAGAAAGCATTGTCATAGTTTAAGGGTTCTCACAGTTAAAACCAAGCCTGTCTTTTAAGGGCTGAACTCAAAGCAAATGTAGACATGCTTCTTCACCACACACGTACACTGCGGGACATCATGGCACCCAAATAAAGTAGGGGCAAAAGTCCCCATCACAACAATGTTCAGCATACTGTTACTCTGTAAAACCCAAAATCAACTCAAAATATTACACACAACCCACATTTCCAAAGTTTGGGAAAGTTAAGTAAATTTGGAAATAGCCTCATGATGGAATTTCATGAAGCCATTCAAGTTACACTCGGTGAGTTTTTAATAGCAAGAGGGGATGCTCATGTTTAATGCTAAGTTGAAAAGATCAGGAATCAAAGTTACACAAATCTATAAATTCAACTCTGCTAGAAATGCAGCAAGAGCTAGAAAAATAGTGGGAGGAAGTTACTAGAGGTTCTGAGGGATAGGCACCCTCTCCTCAGAGAGAGTGATTATTCTTTTCTTTCTCATACTCAAAATTACATTGTTTTGAAAATTTGGAGGGAAATAGCAATATAAAAACCCCACTAAGTGATTTTAGTTTTACCCTCACTTGAGCACATGCCTATTGACTTTTACAGAGAGGGGAAGGGAGGAAGAGAGAGGGAGAGAAATTTCAATCAGTTGCCTACCATACAAGCAAGCCCCAACAGCAGCAGAACCCACAACCCAGGCATGTGCCCTGACCAGGAATCAAACCCACGATGTTTCGGTTTATGTGATGATGCTCCAATCCACTGAGCCACACTGGCCAGGGCTAATAGTAAGTGATTTTAAATAAAAAACAAACTGAAAAGAAGTTGTGGGCTAAAGTGCACAGCTGAGTAAATTTATAAACTAGTGGGGATGACAAGCCCCAGGGGAATGATTACCTCCGCGAGCCTGGAGTCTTCACATGGGGGACAGTCCTTGCCTCTATGACTATATATCTTTGGGACACATCTGTAGGAAGCCTGGGGGGCAGCTGCTATGTTAAAGACCATAACCAGGATCTAAGTGGTCTCCACAGGGCTGGAGAGATGCCCAAGGGATGACCCTTGAGGAAGAGGGATGAGCCCAGGATGGCTATAAGGGGAAACTGGAGCGAGACCAAAGGAACAGGGGATCCATGCTCTCCCCCACAGCCCTACTCTGCAGGCTGGGCAATGTCACCTTCATCAGAAGGTATCAGAGGGAGATATTCAACCCACAGTTGCAAGGGTTTGTTACAGGGATACCATGACATGTGCTTACTCTCTAGTAAACCTGGTTATAAGCTTATTAAAAAGGCAGACACTGGTTACTTTTATTAGGATCATTATTTTAAAATCTCAAAGCTTGTCACCATCCCCCCGAGGCAATTCCACAGCAGGTTCTGGTGCAGGGGCTCTACCTGCCAGTTTTCCTGCTTCAGTGTACAGAACACGGGTATGACGGCTAATCCTGGATGCAGTCACTGGCACATACACACAATGAATGCTCTAGTGCTCTCTGGGTTACAAGTTTAGCTATATCTTGAATCCTTTGCACATGGAAAGGTTCTGATTTTTAGGCCAAAGCAAAGGTAAAGGCAGGTACCTAGCTCACTTCCCCCTCTGGTCGCCCAGCACAGGCAGTAATGTTTCATGAGCTGCTCCAGAAGCTCCATCTCATCCAGGAATTCCAGGGCCTCGATTCTGGCAGAACAGCACAGTTGTGCAATTAGAAATGAGGACAACACCCAGTCACAGACACAGAAAGGTGTTCATGACACAGACTATGGGAAGAGAGGCAACAAATAGAAGGTAAGTGGTGGTTACATTTTATTTTTATTGAAAAGAAAAAAGTATGATAAGCAAAACCAAAAGACAAAGGACAAACTAAAAAAAATTGTGATACAAATAACAAAGGGTAGATTCCCTTGCTGTATAAAGAGCTATTGCACTTCATTAAGAAAAACTTCAAAAACTAATTTAAAAGATGGGTAGGGGTTGGGGGGATGGATAAAAAGGTGAAGGGGAATAAGTGGTACAAACATACAGTTATAAACTGAGTAAGTTAAGGAATGTAATGTACAGCACTGGGAAAATAGTCATGTATATAAATGCTGAATGCCTGTGTTGTACACCTGAAACTTATATAATATTTTATGTCAACTATACTTTAATTTTTAAAAAGGCAGGTAAGACCAGTTCACTGGAAAAGTAAAACAAGAGGTTTTCCATCTCATTTATGAGAAAAAAACATGTACATTTTCAATATTCAACATCTTTTCAACTACTGGATGGAAAGAAATAAAAGGCTGCTATGCTGTAGAAAGGACACGGAGAAAAGGAGCCCCTCTGCATTATGGGCAGGATTACAGAACAGGATAGCCTCTCTGGAGGACAACTTCACCTTCCTGTCAGTGTTTATGATGTTGATCCTTTCACTCAGCAACTCACTCTGATAATCTACCCTGTATGTGCACACAGATCCATGTTCAAGAACACTCACTGAAGCATCGCAGCTGCTATCTATGTAGGGATAGCAAAAAAGAGATGGGCTAATAAAGCACATTCACACAGGACACGGATAGCCATTTAAAAGAATAGAGTAGGCCTATAAATATTGACATCAACAGCCTCTAAGACACATCATGGCATTTAAAAAGCAGGTTGTTTTAGTAAATGATGTGCATGGCTGACTACTATCTATGTAAAGAAAAAGCAGGTACATATACTTGTACATACATAGAACTTTTGCAAGGTAGACTATTTTGGAAAATACAGAAAAAACTGACAGGAGGGAGTAAATGAACAGTGAGGGTGAGTGGGGTGAGAGCTTTTGTTTTTACTCTATACTAATTTCTTTTTTTAATCATATGCTTGTACAATTTTTTTCAAAAATGTATTTTAAATATAAACTTTTAAATATATGCACAGAGAAACATGCAAACACATGAAATAGCTTTTTAAAATATTTTCTGTCATAGGCACAGACTGGGGGAAAAATTCAGTCATTTCCAAAAAGTATAAAAAACAATAAAATAATCCACAGTCGTACTATTCACAATAGCCAATACTAACACTGTGGGACTGCCTTTTATCCAGGCTGTGTGTGTGTGTGAGGGTGCATGTTTCCCTATTTGTACACTTATTCCTGCCTTGGTATGCAGGCCCAAGGGTCACATCTGAAGTGAGAATGTCTACTCATAAAGGATTTTGGCTGTTTCCTAACTAACGTTCTCAACTAACCAGAAGACATTCAAGGCAGGCTTCCTAATACCAAGTTCTAGAAGAAATCAGAACCCTAAAAAGGAGGTTATTACCATGTTTAGCTGCCAGAAGATGGCTGTTCACAAGAACGTGAACTCCACAAGCAGGCACATCGCTGCCGTATTTTGATCAGTTATTCCCTGTGCTTAGAAAGTATGTGGCACAAAGCACGCACTCAGCACCTGTTAAATCGCTAGTCCTGCTTTATGCACAGTATCTGGCAAAACCCTTGGCAGATGTGGACACACACTATGTGGCATTGACAGAGCTGGGAGGACCACTCAGCCTGGGGGAGACACACCAGAGCTGTCCCACTCATCACCCACCTCTGTTGGGGACACACGCTGCTGTCTACAAAAGGCTATGGCAACACAAGACAAACACTGCCTAGGAGTTGCTGCCCTGTGGCTGATGCCAGTTACAGACTCTTCCCTGCGCACCAAGAAAAGCTGCGAGAGTGGTTCCATTACAGATGCCAGACCGGGGCTCTTCAGAAGAGTCATCTTGACATGAAGCAAATGAAAACCAGCCTGTGGGAACGGAAAACTCGAGACAAATCCAGGAAGCATTGACCTCCTCATGTGGAGACAGCACAGACCTTCGAGGCTTTGACATACGAACTTGAAAAAAAGTGACACTTCTACCAGTAAAGAAGGCACGTGGAAAAGCAAGACCAAAAATTCTCATTATCTTGCAAGAGACCAACAGCTATTCCTGTAGATCCCCAAAGGCAAGAGGAAACACAAAGCAGGAAGTACAAATAAGTATTAAAAAAAGCTGGCAATAACAATGTAGAGATGAATGCAGTGTGTGCCTGCCAATGTTTTTTGTAACAGGGAAATTAAAACTAAACAAAAAATAAAACACAGAACAACTCACCCACACATAAAAAGGAATAATGTGCACCATTAAACTTAGTGACCTTCAATGTTTTGATAGGTAAAGACAAATACAATCTACTGTTCGATTCTTTTAAAAGGAGGGTGATTTACAGACTATATAATATGAAGCTACTGATTCAAAAAATACAAATCCACAAATCAGTAAGTACTTCTCTTTCTACATGCAGAGAGAATCACCCCACTCATGAACCGCAGCTCTCCGGACGGTGTGGGTGCAGACAACATGACTTTACACTTCATGTACTTTTACACTGCTTCAAAATTGTTTTAGACCGAGTGTGTATTTCTGTTATAATGAGAGCAAAAGTCCATTTAGAGGTCTGCGAGCAGGCTTTTTCTACGAAGCCCTTGAACAATGTCCTTCTCCTCCCACTCCCAAAAATGAGGATTATGCACAATTTCCACTGCAGATGCTGCTCTGGGAATTTTGCAGGTGTAACTGCTGGTTTTGAAAAGATCACCTATTTTGGCATAAACCCTATCTCAGCTGATAGCTAATGAGTTACTGTTGTGGTGCCAGGAAGTTTAATCTGTGGGAGCAGGTTAACTTGTTTTAAGATGGGTGTAGTTAGGGTTTTGTTTGTTTCACACTAATGCACAGACTTAACCCTTGCACTCCTGTACCTGCTGACTTCGGTCCGAGGTAATCTGCTGTACAATTCCATCATGTTCATGGCTGATGCTGTTTCCCACCCGTTCGACAGGAGCCGTTCTTTCTGAAACATGTGGAGGAGAGAAATGGAGAACCACAAGGCACTGTCATAAATGCAGACATCTTTAAACACGTGAGAATTTCTTACATGACTCCTCTCTCAAAAGCCCATTCCAGCACCTATCGTCTTCCTTCTTTTTATTTTCCAGCGCTCTATACTGAACACACACTGTTACCTATTTAAATAAGGGCAGGAGTGGGAGGTGTCTCTTCAGTCAAAAAAATGACGTTTTTAAAAAGAGGTGAGACTACTATTGATTCCAAGAGATTCAGGGACATAAAACAGTGTGGACCATGTCTGGATCCTGATTCAAATGCACTAACTATGAACATTTAAGTAATTGTGGAAAACTGAACATGAGTTGGATGATAGATGCTACAAAGGAGTCATTGCCAATTTTAAGATATAATCATGGTATTATAATTAACCCAGGGGGAAGAAATTCCTATTGGTAGAAGATTTACACTTAAGTATTTATGGGGAGGAAATTATATACTATCTGGAATTTGCCTTAAAGTATTCCAAAGACAATACCAATAAAAATTTGGAGGGAATAAACAGTATTTACAAAATATTAATTATTGATGCTGGCTGATGGGACATGGTGTTTTGTTTTACAATTCCTTCTACTTTTCTGTTGTTTAAAAAATGCATAATAAAAAGTTAAAATGATAGGGTGTAGGAAATATGTATTTTTGATACCAAGGTGGAAAAGCAGGCTTGTACTCCCCCAGCATGCTGAACTAGTGGCCCGCATGCAGCACTAGCTGCCTGCACACAGGCCCTCTAGAGGGCTGCTCACATTCTGCTCTCAGTGAAGGGCGGACACCCTTTCTTGCCTGGCTAAGGGTACAAGAGGACATCCCAGTCTCTGTTCTCTGACCTGCGACTCTAAGGACTTGCAGGTTTCCACCCCCGCCAGGTCACACTGTCGTCTCCGCAGGTGTTCGATCATGATCTGCCCAAACCGGTCGTCCATGTTCACCTGGGAGGGGACAGAACAGCCAGGCACTGCCATAACAGTTTTATTCTTAAATATGCAAAATAAAATAACATCCTATTTTTAATCAGTCAGTACTGAGGTTTGTTAACACCTGGGCAGGTAAAGGAATCTGTGTGCAGTGCTGACAGGAACACAAACTGGGGCAGCCCCTGGAGAACACCTGTACACCCACGGTACACATAGCCTGTGGCCCCACTGTCAACCTACTGCAGGCAATCTCTCCTGCAGATGCACCTGCATGTGTGCGCAAAGATGCAAGAATGTCTACTGCAGCATTCTACTGAACAGAATACTCTGGAGAAAACTTAAATGTGTATCATTTGAGGTTAAATTCTGGCATGTTTCATGTATAATGAAATACCATATAGCAGGAGAAACAGGAAAGACATAGATATGAGGAGGGACCCCAAAAAACCAGAATTATTTTCTGGAGGGTGGGCCTCTTGTAGTACAGGGTTTCTCCACTAGGTGAGTGTTCTTGGAACCCATCTGTATCAGTGTACCAACTGGTGGTGTTGTGAGAGGCTGGGTTCAGCTTCGGTGAATTATTTTTGAAGACTCTTGAAACACATTTGCCCATTTCAAGATAATGCACCTGCCCACACTGTACTGAGTGTTCAGCAGTTTTTGGCCAAATACAGCATGACCACGCCGTGCCCTACCTTCACTATTCACCTAGTTTCATCCTGAGTGATTTTTTTTTGTTTCCCCAGATGAAAAAAGTCCTCACAGCCAGAAACATTTTGCTAATGTGGAAGAGGTGAAACAAAAAATGGCAGAAGTGCCCTGACTGGTGCAGCTCAGCAGCCGGAGCACCAGCCTGCAAATCAAGAGGTTACCAGTTCAATTTCCAGTCAGGGAACATGCGTAGGCTGTGGGCCAGTTCCCCAGTTGGGGATGTGTGAAAGGCAACCAATCAATGTCTCTCTCCTTCTCTTTCTCACTCCTTTCCCATTTCTCTAAAAGTAAATAAATAAAATCTTTTTAAAAATGGCAGCAGCACATTAAAAGGCATCAATATTGACAAGTTCAAAAACTATTTTGGGCAGTGGGGGAAAAAAGCATCTTGATAGGTGTATTGCATCAAATGGAGAGTACTTTGAAGGTGACTGAAGTTTAAACATCTAAGAATACACAATTTTCAATAAATAAATTTCATTTTTGGGTCCCCCTTCATACATATATTAATATAGACAGCAATATGGAAAGATCTCTTAAGATCTAAAAACTCCTGAAAATTAAGGTATAGAGGAGTGTGTACTATATTACCCCATCTGCCTTTAAGAAAAAAATTCTCTCTACATTTACACATATAAAAGAATTCTGGAATCTGGCAAAGTTGCTTACCAGGTGAGGGGGCTGAGGTCTGGGGACAAGGACTTACATTTCCTTATCTATACTTTTGTATTACTTATTTTTATTCTGCTTTTGAATAAAAAAGTGTATAAAAACCCATAAACCATAATTAAATTCTATATATGCCCAAATGCCGCAAAACATAATCTCACATACACTGTTATAGCATATATACACTGTTACTTTGTCATATACAAAGTGCCAAAAATTCATTATTAACAATATGTAAAATGAATCCCAGAGTTCACATAAGACAACAAGAACCAGTGCTTTCTCTTTTAGTGGATGAGTAAGGCTCATGTGGCACTAATGGTCAGGTCAAACACTATTCAATCGGGATAGAAGTGGTCTGGGAGCACACTCCATCATTTTACTGCCTGAGCGTGAATCCTGGCTTTTAATTGTTGTGAGACTGTGGGCAAGCTGCCTTACTCTCTGTGCTTCAGGCCCCTGACCTGTAACACCACAAGGACAAGTACTTACCCTGTGGGTTGCTGTAATATTAAGCTAGCATATGTAAAACTCATAGCATACATAACACCTATATATTGTAAATAAATTATACAACTTTGCTGTCATTGTTATCATTACTGTAGTTATTGTCCATGTGATTTTGTCATTTTAAACTAATTAGGAAGTATTGTAAGGCATGTGAGCAATTAATAAATGTGAGGATGCTAATGATTTTGTATTTGTTAGAAAATTATTGAATTAAGTGGTAGGTGGGATCTGAACCAGTTTGGGGACAGCCATGGACAACATATTGGATGATGGTCCATTCCTAGGCCTGCTCCAAAGTGACAGGATCTCTGGGCAAAATTCACTGATCCACCATCTCCATTTGATGTTGCATAAATGCTTGTTGAATAGATGAATACACGAATGAACCAAAGTGAATGATGCAGTACACATTCAAGGTGTGTGGAAACATATGGAAAGCAGAATTCATTTTCCCCAGGTGTGGTATCCTGAAAGCAAAGACAGATTCCCAGGATTTATTCACATGAAAAAAGAAAACACCAAGGAGGCCAGCTGCCATTACAGCCACTCACCAGGAATGAAGACTGAGTCTGAAGACAGCCCCCAGTTAAAGAGAGAGAAGGAAGAAATCAACTAACCAAAAACCACCTACACAGGAACCTGGACAGGGGGTGGGGGGAACCAAGGTTTAGCCCTAATCTGTCTATAATCACATAAGCTTAGGCAAGACCCTGTACTGCTCTTACCTCTAATAAAATTTAAAAATAAAATTAACGTGAGACAGACAATAAAGTCAATAAAACTAAAATAAAATAAACAACAAAAATAGCTACCATGTGCCCACCACTGTAACATCTCATCATCTCATGAATTCCCATAATACATGAGAGAGTTAGGCATTCCTTATTCCTTTATGAACAAAGAATGGGGACTCAGAGATCCAAATAATAGCCAACATTTAACAGCCAGGTAATGCTGTAACAACCCTATGAAGCTGGGACTTCTTTATCCTCATTTTTCAGATAAGGAAACAGGCACAGAAATGTTATGCAACTTGCCCAATTCACACAGCTAGGTGGTCTGCCTCCAGGTGGTGGACTCCCAACAACTAATCACACTGTCAATAGTAAGAACTAGGTCCAGGTGTTGTGCCTCAGTTGTTCGGGCATCATCTGCAAACCAAATAGGTCACCAATTTGATTCCCAGTCAGGGCACATGACTGGGTTGCAGGTTTGGTACCCTGGGGTGCACAGGTAAGGCAACCAACGGATGTTTCTCGCCCTCTCTCTCTTCCCCCCTCTCCAAAATAAGGGGAAAAATAAATAAATAAAAATAAAAAATAAAATAAAATAAAATAAAACAATAAAAACCAAAATAAAACAGCTAGGATTCAGAACCAAGCTGGATAATCCAAAGTTCTAAAAAAATCCATTCTGCACTAGCTCAGAAGAGGCAAACCAGCAGCCAGTGGACCAAACTCAGTGATTTTAGAAATTAGGAAATGTTACATTATAATCCTGCATTTCTAACTTCTGAAAAATTGGGAGTTCTGGCAACTGTAGGCTCACAGGCCCACATGGTAACAACAGGCTGGAACTGAAGAGTGGCCACTCCCATGAGACGGGATATGGGTAGCCAGTGTCCCCTAGTCCTCACCACTCTACAGTACTTACTTGCCAACTTCCTCTGCCTGCATCATGTGTCCACCTCTGAGGGCATTAAGTTTGCTACCCCTACAGTGAAGGCAGACAAAACTCCCTCAATCAAAGGCTTGACCTGAAAGTAAATATTGGGTTGGCCAAAAAGACTCTTTTTTCCTGTATGATGGCTCTAGTAGTGCTAAGTTGTTTTTAACTTCATTCAAAACAATTTTGTTAGATTGTATTGTGACAGCTGTCGTATCAGCACACATTAAAAACAACACAATTGGTGATTTTTTTTGCAGCCATTTTAATATTGAAAATGGAAGAAAATATGAAACATTTTCAGTGTATTATGCTTATTATTTCAAGAAAGGTAGAAATGCACTGAAATGCACACAAAGGTTCCTGCAGTGTACACAGAAGGTGCCATGACTGATGGAATGTGTCACAAGTGGTTTGGGGAGCTTCTTGGTACTATTGACATTTTGGCCAAATAATTCTTTGCTGTGGGGCTGTCTTACGCACTGTAAGATGTTTTGCAGAACCTCTGACCTCTACCCACTAGAAGCCTATAGTGGGAGATAGCTGATATACTCAAAATAACCAAATCAATAAAGTTATTGGTGAAAATTAAGAAAATGTCTTTTATTTTACAGAAAAACTAAATGGACTTTTTGGCCAACCCAATACAATGATCAAATATCTCAAAAAACTCCTAAGGGCCAAAACAGCAGTTCCAAAAACTCTGGCTAAAAGTTTGCAGTAAGTCAAGAAGTCAGGAGCAGCAGGACTACTGGCATCAACTAACAAATGAGACACATCTGGCCAGAGGCCAAAAGAAACCAGAGTAGCAGCATGTACAGGCTGCTCAGAAGGAGAGCCATCCCTGGGCTCCTGTGCAGAACACAAGGTTTCTGTGCTTCCTTTTACCTGTTCGTAGTTTATGAACATGGCGGTCCCAAAACTGTTGGCTGCCCACTTGATTAGGTTTGCAGACTGCTCCGGAGTCATGTAGACCAGCACACATTCTGTTATCAGGAGTGTCGGCAATCTTGAGAGACGAAAAGGAGGCATATACGTGTTTTCATCAGGTTGGGACTCTGGCTGTACACGTCACGGTACTGGCAGGGCAGTTCACAGCCCAGGAAAACCAGAAGCACTTAGCAAGCACATGGCCAATCAGCACAGTAACATATGTGTGACACCATCACGTCCCAAAGATTTATACTGCACAAAGGTGAGGAGTGAGCAATGGCTGCCTGGCTTGTGAAAATGTGTTAAATGGCTACAGATTCTCCCCCACCCTGCATCCACACCATGGCAATACCAAACTGCAGCTTCCACCACTCAAGAGTGGGAGATCATATTCTTCCCTTGGAATCTGGGTCAGTCATGTGACCTGCTTTGGCCAGGAGCAAACAAGAAGCCTGCTGATCACTTGCACAGGGGTGTTTGCCCTCCTGCTGCACTGGCAACCTAAAACCACCGTGCAAGTGATCCCAAACTAGCTCCATAGGAGGGGCAGCCCCCTGCATGAACGAGATAGTCCAGGTGACAGTGAGTCAGCCCCCAGTTGACCTGCCCTCTGTGTGTGCATGTGCACACATGTATGGGCACACACACACAAGTGAATCCCAGGGGATATCAATTAAGTTTTACCTTCCAGCAGAGGAACTACCCAGCTACACCCAGCCCAAACTGTCATTTCAGGACCCCGAGCAACTAAATTACAAGCTGTCTGAAACCTCTTGAGTTTGGAAAAATTTGATACACATGATGAGATGACTGGTATAATGCAGAAATACTGATATTTACTTAACAGAATCTAGTTCTTCTTATATAAGCTGATACCATGAAAAATTCAAAACATGAACAGTCTTCAAGAAATTACATTATACTTAGTATCCATTCTCGCTTACCAGACCCAAACTACTGAATGGATTAGGAAAAGCAACAAACTCCTTCAGAAATATCTAAAAGCTTTAATTTGTGTAAAGGAACATGGACTTATTTGTTTTTAAACAAACAAATAAATAAGAAACCCCACTCCTATTTAATACCAAGCAGGAGCAGTCACACTGGAACCCAAATTCCAAGATGCAGGGCAGGGCTCCAGGCTTCCTGTATCAGCTTTAACCATCTACTACTAATCATCACTCACTAACTTGCCCAAGAAAAGCAGTTGTGGCCTTAAACAATAAGACCCACCTTCTGCTAAAGAACACACTACATCTTGCAATCCATGAATCATTTTGAGGGTTCCCCAAAGTGGAAAAGGCGGCAGATGGCTATGTAAATCCTAATGACGACTTGGCTGATGATTCTAGGCTAAATACATAAAGAAGAACTTTAAAATGTAGACAGCCATCTCCACGTAAATGAAAGATTTGTCAAAAAGATCAAGATTTAACTTCCTATACTTCCCTCCCCTCTGTCACCCAAAGCGCACCTGTATTTGCAGCTGTTCTTACTCCTCATTCTCCCCTCAGAAGAATGGGGATCTTTCCTTTCCGCTGAAGGACACTTAGCCTCAGTCCATGCTCTATAGCCCCCTTCCCTTTCTAGCAATGATCCCCCTAGTTGCTAAATTCTTTAATAATTCGCCATTGATTTTTGCCTTTGTTGGGGACTACTCTATGTGGTTTTGGAGACTGTAGCCTCGTGAGAACAAGCCCTGAAAGGGGCTAGTAAGTCTCCCTGGAAAACCAGGTAAAAACGCAGGTGGCAGGCATGACCCAACTCTTAACACTAAGGGTTCCTGTGGAAATCAGGCCCTTTTGAATTCTGTCCTTTGAAGCCTGCTCTGCCTAGCATAGCCCTGTTGATATAAACCAGATGTTTAAGTTTAAGGCATAAGGAGGAAACTCCTCATCTCATGAAACATGTCTTAAAGACCATCTGGCGTCAGCATGTCTCACAGACCCTGACCTATGACAAATCTCAGTGTTCCTTCAATTGTTATCTATAGACAATACCTGTTTTTGTATGACTATAGCCTTTTGACATTGATCATTACGCTATGCATGTATGCTGTATACACCTACACATACCATTCCCAATAAAAGCCATTTGGGAGAAGGGCTCAAGGCATTCCCCACTAGAGGGAATCGCCTCTCCTTTCCCGCTGGAAAAAGATTGCGTCTGGGATGACTTATTTCTCATCTGTGGCACCCAGGAAAGCTCTGCTGGATGGAGTTCCTCCCACATGCCTTCACTTTCTTCAAAATAATATCCCTTGACCTTATCCCCTCAAACCTCTCCCTTGAATTTTTCAAACAGTCTTGAAAGTGCCATCTTCACCTACAGGAGATCATGTAGACATGTCTTTATCTCCCACTAACTCTTTAATTCCAATCTAATTATGATCAGCATCGCTGTGCCAAAATCACACATCTCACTCTCCTCCCCTGTGTCCCAAAGGCCCTCACTCTCCAAAATTTGGTGTGAGCCCTTCTCCTCCACTTTAAAAATATTTCTGTGAGGTATACATGTAATCATGAAAATACAGTATTTGGGGGATTTGATTTTATACATCTGGTAACACACTAAATATATTACTCTGCAACTTGATTTTTTTTTACCCAACTTTTTGAGCTCTCTCCATGTTGACCTAGGTCATAAATTGTAAAGGCTATTTATCCATTCCCCTCCTGATGGATGTTTAGATTGTGTCCAATTTTCTGCTACTAAAAATGGTGGTTGCAATGAACATCCACCTTGTGCATACATGCAGGGGACATACCTGACTGTGGAGCTACTGTCATGTTACCCACATCTGCAATCTTACCAGATATTTCCAGACTGTTCCTCGCCATGGCTGTACTAAGTTCACTTCCACTAGTGGTGTGTAACCATTCCTTTTACCCTGTCATTTTGCCAACAGTTAATATTGCCAGATTTACACTTTTTTGCCAACTTGATGGGAGTAAAATGAAATTTCATCTGATTATTACTGTGGTTCCTTACCTTTTTTCTATGATATTCAGTTTCATCTTTGAGCTACCTAGTCTTTTTTTTTCCCTGTTTGCCTATGGGACTTTTTTCTTTTTTCATAGTACCTGTTCTTCACATATTTTGGATGCTAATCCTTTCTTAGTATGTTGCAACTGTATGTTTCTATGCACACAATTATCTTCTCTCAAGCTCTGTTTATATTACACATCAGTGCTATATTTTACAAAAGCAATACAGGTCATTCTGATGTGAAACAGACTTGAGAAACACTACTTCTAAAAAACTCAGAAAATTACCCAAGGTAACAATGAAATGAAGAATGGGACATGCGTTATCAGGCTGCACTGCCAACTGGCCTTGTCTCATGTTAGCATGAAACCACAGATGTGTAAGAAGTCAAAAAAAAATCTCACTGTGTATTCATGTTACATTTCTTTAGTTTCTCTTCCAGTTCAGATAAATCTCGAAGATCTGCTCCAATAATGGCATATCTCTTTGAATCCAACATGTGCCCATCTGTGAATACAAGGAGATAATTTCAACAGAAATTAATCAAGAAGAGATTATATTCCAATGGATATGGCTTCTTCAAAATTAAATGTATTGTTTTTCTCCATTATAAGAATATATGCTCATTATTTTTAAAATTCAAATAGGAAGAGTGAAATTAACTAAATCACATTTCCCAAAAATATCTATTAGTGTTTTGGTGTATAGCATTCCAGCCTTTTTTCCAAAGTGCTTAAACGCATATACTCAACACAAACACTGTCTCACTGTCTCTTTGTCTGTGTCTTTCTCTTTCTCAACACACACATACCACACACACACTCCACACAGAAAAAGAAAATAGGGTCACTTAATACTTATTTTGAAAAATGCTTTTTCCACTTAAAAGTGATTTCATGGTGTTCTGCTGAGTGAATAAAACAACTGGCTGAGTCAGTCCCTCACTACTAGATGTGGTACTTCCAAGTTGCCTCTGTCTTGGGCACTGGGATGAACATCCTGTATAGGTATCATGAAGCATCCATCTAATTATTTCTTTAAAATAAGTACAGAGTAACCTGTGTGATATATACATCCAGGGATGTTCCTGCAGTGTAAGACAGAGATGTTTTTAAGGGTATAAACTTGCAATGAGTACCACATAAGTCCTAAAGATCTAATGCAAAGTATGTCAACACTGACACCCATACTGTACTATAATCATCAAACTTGCTAAGAGGCTAGATCTTAATATTCTAACCACTAAAAGGAAATGATGATAATGTGATGTGACAGAGGTACCAATTATCACAATGGCAGTCATACTACACAACAAATAAATGTGTCCAATTAACAGGCACACCTGAAGCTTACACAGTGTTGTATGTCATATATATCTTTTTTTAAATATATTTTATTGACTGTGCTATTATACTTGTCCCAATTTTCCCCACTCTGCCCCCCTCCACCCAGTTTCCCCTTTCCCTCCAGCAGTCCGCCCCTCTTAGTTCATGTCCATGGGTAATAAATATAAGTCCTTTGGCTTCTCCATTCCTATACTATTCTTGACATCCCCCTATTTTGTACCAACCAATTAATGCTTCTTTTTTAAAAAATATATTTTATTGATTATACTATTACAGTTGTCCCATTTCCCCCCTTCATTCTCTTCCACCCTGCACACCTTCTCCCACCCACATTCCCCCCCTTTAGCTCATGTCCATGTGTCATAAGGTCTTTAGCTTCTACATTTCCCATACTATTCTTGCCCTCCCCCTGTCTACTTTCTACCTACCATCTATGCTACTTATTCTCTGTACCTTTTCCCCCTCTCTCCTCCTCCCACTCCCCTGTTGCTAACCCTCCATGTGATCTCCATTTCTGTGGTTCTGTTCCTGTTCCTGTTGCTTGCTTAGTTTGTTTTTGTATTTGTTTTAGGTGTGGTTGTTAATGATTGTGAGTTTGCTGTCATTTTACTGTACGTTTTTTATCTTTTTTCTTAGATAAATCCCTTTAACATTTCATATAAGGGCTTGGTGATGATGAACTTCTTTAACTTGACCTTATCTGAGAAGCACTTTATCCGCCCTTCCATTCTAAATGAGAGCTTTGCTGGATAGAGCAATCTGGGATGTAGGTCCTTGTCTTTCATGACTTGGAATATTTCTTTCCAGCCCCTTCTTGCCTGTAAGGTCTCTTTTGAGAAATCAGCTGACAGTCTGATGGGAACTCCTTTGTAGGTTACTGTCTCCTTATCTCTTGCTGCTTCTAGGATTCTCTCCATTTTTACCTTGGCTAATGTAATTATGATGTGCCTTGGTGTGTTCCTCCTTGGGTCTAACTTCTTTGGGACTCTCTGAGCTTCCTGCATTTCCTGGAAGTCTATTTCCTTTGCCAGAATGGGGAAGTTCTCCTTTATTATTTGTTCCAGTAACTTTTTCCACTTGTTGCTCTTCCTCTTCCCCTTCTGGTACCCCTATAATTCAGATGTTGGAATGTTTAAAGTTGTCCTGGAGGTTCCTAAGCCTCTCCTCATTTTTTTGAATTCTTATTTCTTCATTGTTTTCTGTTTGGTTGTTTCTTCCTTCCTTCTGGTCCACTCCATTGATTTGAGTCCCAGTTTCCTTCCCATCACAATTGGTTCCCTATGCATTTTCCTTCATTTCACTTAGCGTAGCCTTTATTTTTTCATCTAATTTGCGACCAAATTCAACTAATTCTGTGAGCATCCTGATCACCAGTGCTTTGAACTGTGCATCTAATAGGTTGGCTATTTCTTGGTCACTTAGTTGTATTTGCTCTGCAACTTTGATCTGTTCTTCCATTTGGGTCATTTTTTTTTTTGTCTTGTCATGCTCATTACATATGAGGGGCAGAGCCTTAGGTTCACCAGGGCGGGGCAACCCAGTGGCTGGGTTGTGACACTGTATGTGGGGGAGGGGTCTGAGAGGGAACAATGGCGCTTGCTCTGCTCTCTGTAGGATTTCAGTCCCTTCCACCGCTTCTCCCAAGCAAAGTGGGCCTTTCTGGTGCTGATTCCTATGTGGGTGGTTTTGTGTACATTCTAGAACCCTGTGGGTCTTTCCAACGAGAACTTTCCCGTAAGGCTGGGAGTTTCTCCTTGCACCTCACCCCCCACAGGTGTTTTCAATCAGTGATCTGTGGCTTTATTTCCTGGTGCTAGGACCCAGGGTTTCGTGATCTGTCTTGCTCCCCAGTTTCACCTGGTTTATCTGTGTGAGAATGTGGGACTGCGTGGTCAGCTAGCAGCCTTGTGCGTAGTGCCTCACCTCATAATCACTGCCTCACTGGGTCTGCCCATTGCCTTCTTACGTGCCCAGGGTGTCTTGCATGCCTGCTGCCACTGCTTTTTGTGCCACAACCCCTCTCCACCCAGCCATCTGACTCTGCCCTGCCTACCGGTCTAGATGAATGTGTCTATTTTAACTAACTTCCATACAGTTCAATTTTCTGTCAGTTCTGGTTGTTATTTTGTTTGTAAATTGTTGTTTTCCTTAGTTTGGTTGTTCGAGGAGGCACAGTGTGTCTATCTACACCTCCATCTTGGCTGGAAGTCCTCAAATATATTTCAATAAAAAAGTAGGTGGCTACAAGGGAAATGAGGAGGCCAAAAATTAGATCTATTTTACTTTGGTACTGATTGGCAGGCTGCTCTCTTAATGGTATGCCAATTTGTAAGATACTATGTTCAAAGGAAATAATTTATGATCTGAACTATTTGCGAATAAAATAGCACTTGCTTTAAAAATATTCCAGCAGAGGCTGGATGGCACAGTACCTCCAATGGTTCTCAAGCTGTGGCTACATCAGAACCACACACATTGATGGGCTCCACCCCCACAGTTTCTGATGCAGATCTTTCAAAATGTAGAGATTTGCATTTCTGACAAGTTCCCAGATGGTGCTGATGCTGTTCATCTGGGACTTCATTCTCAGAACCACTGGTACAGATGACTGGCAATAGTGAAAAGCAGGTGAAGGGTTCATGATGGAAGTTCAACAATCTAGTCAGAGCATTTCTGTGTACACCTGAAATTTTTTTCAGTTAAAGTTAAAAAAGAGATTTATGATAAAAAGAAAACTGACCGTTTTTCCAAAGCGTTGCCCAACCTCCACAAGTGTACAAATCAGGGAAGGAGTTAGAACATCCAACAGCCATCCTGTGTCACTGCTGGTAACTCAGGTTCTCCTGGCTTGAGGACCCACAGCAAACAATGTGGGAAAGGGTAATAGCTCAGCACAGAAGCAGGTTCTCTCTTATGATCTTGATGACCCCAAATGGCTGATTCCAGTACACTTAGCCACACACCATAAGCTAAAAGAAATACCTCCCAGGAACCTACTAGGTGTTAGGAAAGCACCCAAGAACAAGTGGGGAAACCCAAGTCAGCCCCTGCCACCACAATGCCTGAGTCAGGAAAAGAATATAAAGAACAGGAAGGTACTTGTCTGCCGCACTATGAAGTCAAATGATTCCCAAATGCCTATATGCCTTCTTGCAAATAACATACATATTAATAATAAGCATATTTTTAAAAATATTTTTTACATATTTTTAGAGAAAGGAAGGGAGAGAGGGATAGAAACATCGATGTGTGAGAGACACAGTGATCAGTTGCCTCCTGCACGCCCCCAACTGTGGACCTGGCCCGCAACCCAGGCATGTGTCCTGCCTGACTGGGAATTGAACTGGAGACCTTCTGGTTTGCAGGCCAGCACTCAATCCACTCAGCCATGCCAGCCAGCACAATAATAAGCATATTTAATGTAAGTTTTCCATCCCTAACAACAACAACAACAAAACCCCACAAAATTTTGAAGCCTGAAGTTCAGGGGAGACATGTCTGACCAGAAATTTGGAGCTACAGGTAGCTCATAAAGTTGAAATGCACACTGTTATGATGACTCTTTTAAAAATTTAGCACAAGGTATGGAGAAGATGAGGGGTCAGTGACTTGAAGCACACTTGGCCATGGCCCAGCCATATCCATAGCATGCTGACATGTCACCCAGGAGACACTGGAGGATATGGCCCAAGTCTCATTAACAATAATAGACTTTGATGATTCCAACAGTGCTGGGAACCACCCTGCCTGGTTTCAGAAGCCATAACCCCCTATGGCTAAGGCTGAGTAAAAAGACCTTGGGACCATAAGCCACTAAGGAGACAAAACTAACCCTCCCGGCAGGGGCACAGCCTCTGTCCCCTTTACTTCACCCTGCTTGGCCCCTGGAGGATGGCTGGTTAGTCAATGACGGGTAAGATTCCTCAAGCCAGGAACAACCTAAGACAGTCGCAGCTACAAAGGGGCCATCAGGGAAGGACTTAAGGGATTATGGAGGAAGGACAAAAGATCCTCATCCCTCTGCTTTGTCATAGCCTGAATCCTCATTCTATCGGTAAAAAGTCTCCTAATCTCTTGGCTGCCTGCAACCCCCACCTGCTTCAGGCCTGGAACAATGCCGAAAGGGGGTGCAGACCTGTGCTGGAATGGGTGGTTCCCAGTGTGTGTGGGGCATCGATCTGGCCTAAGAAAGAATGCATAATATCCTGTGAAACCTGCTTTGCTAAGAATGCCCTCAATTTAAATGTTAAGGGTCCAAGCAAAAAATAAGTTTCCCAATGTTTTATGGCCCTTTGGCATCACTCTTATCTACCTGACCCTGACTCAGAATAAGCCCTTATAGATCTTTGAATTGTTATCTACTCCTTGATCATTACTCCCTGACAATGATTGATGAGCTTTACGTATATGCCCTGTATTCCTATGCAAACTAAACCCAATAAAAGCCCAGGGAAACAGGTGCTCGAGGCTCTTTTCCTCAGAGAGATTGGCCACCTTTCCTCCCCAAGCAGATCATGTTTTCATAGATTTACTCTCAACCACGGCAGCAGCTGGGAGGGCTCTGCAGGACAGAGCTCCCCTGTACAACAGCACACACTCCATCATGATTCCGGCGCCACTCTGAAGTCGGGGCTACTCAAGCTTTGGACCTTGTAGGTCCATTACCTGACCTCCCAGGATGCCTTACCCTCACTATGCTTGGAATGGAAGGTGTTCACTACAGGACACAGCCTCAGGGCGAGTTTCAAAGGAGTTTTACTATTCTGGGAAAATATGCCCTCTCAGCATGCAAAGTTATATAACATTTTAAAATAGCAGGACATCATTTCAGCCTATCAGATTGAGAGAAGTTTTACTTATTTTTTTAATTTATTTATTTTTATTGTCTGTCATAACTTTACTGGGTCTCTCCCCTAAAGACAGATGTTATACATATATGCCTTCAGCATTAAAACCAGATGAGATAGGATTCTGTAGCATACAGAGATTCCTGGGGAGCTGCCAAGATGATCCCCGCCTCTTCAGGCACCCAGATTGGAATGGTGACTCCCTTCCTATGCCTGCATGTGAGGCCTCTACATCAATGGGCTCCAGTCAATGGGTTCCACTGGAAAAACACGAACTTTTGTTCCTCTCTGCTGGATAAACTGCTGGAAATGGACTTAACCAGCTCTTCTGTCTACCACTCCAGTTCTTTTTCTTTGCCATCATTTGGTGGCTTGTCCAAAAGATCTTTCCACAGCTTTAGTACCATTCTCCAGCCTCAGACTCATCTGGCCTTGAATGCCAGTTTCCCCTTTGACCTTACTGATCTTTCCTTGACCCTCTTCTTCACTGAGTTGTGCCTCCTGGACTTCCTGCTGCAATTTTTTGGCTTCAAGACCCCATTCCAAAATCTGGATTTGATACAAATAGTCTTTTCATTTTCTCTCACATTCTGTCCTTTTCTGTCTTATTTCTTGAAACTGATCCTTCAGCTGTTTTTCATTTTCCTGTCCAATCTGTAATTCATTTTCCTAAAATTCTTCCTCTTCAATTTCGACATTTCTTTTGATTTTTTGCTCCAGACAATTTTCTCTTCAAAGGTAGAATTATAATTTTGCTCCCAAAATCATATTTCTATTTCATTTGATTCTAGCTCTTTCTCAATGGAGAGAAGCTTTCTGCTACAAATGGATCAGCTCCTTTAACTTATCTGCTGTTGTTTTGCAGTTATTCAGCATCTTTTGCTTGAATTCAGTTTCTTTACCTTTTCCAAAAATGTCCATTAATCCTTTGGCACCTCTGTAAAATGTTTATGATTTTCTATTAGATTCTCTTCTTTGGGTTGATTTGTGAATTTGAGGTCTCACCTTAGCTAAAGGGGTCAAACTATGCCTGTATAAAGTTTTTTCAGAAATTTGTGCCACATTATCTGATGTGGGTCACTCACTGAGAGATGACCCAGCCCCATTCCACATAAAATAAGTTGTACATCACTAGCATACTGTCCCCATTTAAGGATATGATAGGATTCTCATGAGGCTCCAAATGTCTCAGTATCTCTTGTTTTCTATCAGAGTGTACCTTCCAGTCTGACCTATTACTCGAGCTAAGGCTACTACACCCTCCTGACAATCTCTGACTTGGGTGACCTCAAAAACAATCCTCTGAACTCCATCCACCTATACTTTAAGTTCTAGGGTGCACCAGCCAAGGGTCAACCAAGGGCCCTGACACTGGTCATCAAAGGTGTCAGGTCATGTCTCTGGCTATGGAAACATGGAGAAAGCAGTCTGTGTAGTCAACTTAGCACTCTGGAGACCCCAAGCTGAAAGACTATAAGGTAGTCTCAAGGAATGGTAAAGCTTCAGACAGGTATTCTAGGAGGAGCTACACAGGTCACCCACAGTGTTGGCCCAGGCACTGAGGACACAGCAGCACCCGGAGCACCTCAGCTGCCCAGCACCTAAGCCAGGCTGCACAGCTCCATATGCCTCCATAGGAGGGAGGCCCCAGCTCCCTGGTGTGCCTTGCCTGTACACCTCCCCTGGCAGCCCACACTCAGGAGTGAGGATGCTCTTGGCCTGGTGGGGGTGTGTGAGAACGCAGCAACAGAGTTAGCCAGACTGGGAGCGATTTTAAAAATGAGAATACCCAGTGAAAAGGTAGGGATTGAGAATCCTTACTCCCTCTAGTGGAAACAAAAATTAGCAATTAGGGTCTTAAAGAATGGTAGCTTTAGCTAGTAGAATCCATAGTATGTAATTCTTCATTTTGCTGGCAATGTGCACATATACATATGTTTTCTATAGTACTGTTTAATATAAAAACATTAAAAAAGGAAGCAATCTAAATGATCATCAGTAGGAAATAGATTAAATAAAATGGAATTTCCATGCAAAGAAGTGCTATGAAGCCATTGAAATTAATGATATAAAACTGATTTTTAACCAGTGTGCCACAACACACTGATGGGCCCCAAGAATTTTTCAAATGTGCAATACCTGACTATTTAGTCAGGAGCACTGACCTCTTCTCCCTTAGACTGTCAAATTTAAAAAATGACAACAGCCAACACAATAGGTCTCTGATATGAATGAATCAAAATTATACATTTTGGGGGGTCAGAGAGCCAAAAAACATATTATATATATTATACATATGTAAGTTTAAGTACTTAGTTTATGTGTGCCATGAGATGAAAAAGGTTGAAAATCGCTGACATAGAAAGCTACCCAAGCAGATGGGTAAACAGCGATGATTTGCTGGGATATGAAACGAGCAAGTTACAAACATACATGTTAATCATTCAGTTTGTTAAAATTACACATGAATATAGATTTGTACACAGAAATATAGATTCATTCACTCAACACATCTATTTAACTACAACATATATTTATTCAATGTACACTCCTTCAGCAGAAACCTACTGAAACTTCTATGTGCGAAGCACTGGGCTGCATTTGTGTGTTCCTCTCCTGATCTCTGGGTACAACATTCAGCTGTAGTAGAAAATGACAAACATTTGTTTTCTTGGTGTGGGGCGGGATTGTGGAGGATCTTTATTTTCCACTTCATATATTTCTACATTGATCAAAAGCAATGTAAAGTGCTAGATCTTTTCTACATATAATTGTTCTGACACAAATATTAATCAAATATGTAGAAGTCACGATAGCAGAAGTGTGAAAAGGCAAACGAATGGCAAAGCCTGACTAGGTTGCACTCACAACTGGTATGAGGGAAACTAAGAGTGGGGGAGACATTTTCTGTGGAAACATAACTGGGCACCTGATCATGACAAAGACAGAATGACTAACGCAGTGTGGTTGTGAGTAGAAGGGGGCTTATGAGTTGTGTGATGGCTACTGGATGATCTGGGCCAGCCATCTCAGAAGACCACCTTCTCCAACCATGTTTTCTGACCTGAATTATTATTAAGCTCCTTGCACTTCTCTGTCAGACACCAACTGAAAATGATGGAAGATTCTGGAAGAGATTTATCTTAATTTCAAAAATGTGAAAATGCAGAAAGTGTTGCTGGAAACATTCATAATTAAAACTGAAGGGGAAACAAGAGTGCAGGGGCCAAGGAGCTAATATAAGTGGGTGACAAGAGTGGTAGGGAAAGAAGTGGCAGGTGCTTGGCCTCTCTCGATGACTTCCACGTAGGAGTGAGGGTCCAAAGTTGCCAAAGCTGGTCTTTCCAAAGAAAGCCAGATTTTCACTAAAAATCTCCTATCAATATGTTGGCAACTAACTGAAAAATTTTTTTAAAGCACAGGTGGCAAACACAAGGCCTGCAGGTTGAGCCCAGGCCTGCAACTTGTTTTATCTAGGCCGGCACCTCATTTCTACCCGGCAGCCGCGCCGAGCTCCTTGCCCCTGGTTAAGGAGTGGTTACATTTACACAGCCCTAAAATTCCATTTGGCCCTTTGAAGGCAACTGCAAGACTGATGTGGCCCCCAATGAAAATGAGTTTGACACCCGTTTTAAAGAGTTAAGACTGGGGACCTATGGACATCTAAGAAGAGTCACACAAACTCGTTTTAAACTCCTTCACGGTAACTGAAGGAAGCATAAAGGGATCAGAAGTAAACACTGTGTGACATCATGTGCACACACATGCACACATGCACACACATGCATACATGCACACACATGCATGCACACACCATCTTTAGAAAGGAAAGGGAAATCAAGCAAAAACAGCCATATAGTTTACAACGCATTGCTTAAATTAAGGATACTTGCCGATTTGAAACGTGTCCTCTGAATGTAATTCTAAAATAGGTTTTGATAGAAGAGGCTTGAATCTATGGGAAGGTGGGAAAGAGGAGAAAAATGAGTCAGGCAGCTTATTTACTGCAAAAATGCACACTCACTATAAAAATGGCAAGTAGGTACTGCTACTGTAGAGACTACTGTTCAATTCCATTTAACCAGAGGCACATAAAGTCAAACCGCAATGGCCACGTGTCTTGGGCTAGGTCAGCTAAGCACCATTATACTCAGAATTTGATGTCAATCACAAACTGATCATAAACACTCAGACTTAGAAATAGCTACAGACATGCTAGCAAGAATTTCCCTGGGGTCCTGGCTGGCGTAGCTCAGTGGATTGAGGACGTGCTGCGAACCAAAGTGTCGCAGGTTCGATTCCCAGTCAGGCCACATACCTGGGTTGCAGGGCACAGCCCCCAGCAACCGCACATTGATGTTTCTCTCTCTTTCTCCCTCCCTTCCCTCTCTAAAAATAAATAAATAAAATCTTAAAAAAAAGAATTTCCCAAATGTTTCAGTATTTGTCAAGCAATTTCTACTTTTTTGCCTCTTCTCAAAATTTTAAAGATAGCTATTATTTCTCAGATAACTTAAAAAGCTGACTTAGACCTAATGCCCATAACATTTATGTGATAACTACCCCAATCAAGACTATGGAAAAAAATCAGAGAGCCAAATGATCAGTAACCCAGCCACCATGCTCAGATGCCAATGCATTTCCCATTCTGGTAACCATCACTAGATTGAATTAGAGCCTCCTTTCTTATACTTCACTGAGGTCTAACAGGCTTTCTTGTACTTCATAGTTACCAGAGCGTCGGAATTGCCATATATCATTTGAAAAGCACATTTAATATAAAATGCTGTTTTCTATTGGAAAGAGTAAAAATCTCATTTTCATAGGATAAAGTAGAAAAAGCCAAACCTTGAAAAGTATTTCCAGTTTGTGAGGATTGAACATCTCTAAAGGACAAATTTAAACTTTTAGGTTTATTACATTTTTGTAAATATAAGAATTAGGATTTTATTTCAATGACTGATTTAAACAGGAGGGAGAAAGTGTGGATTAACACTATCAAGAAACCTTGACTTTGGGCTTGAAGCCAGGATTTAAATCTCAGCTCCACTCTTCCTAGCTGGATAACCTTAAGCAAATTATCCAAACTTGTCTGGGCCTCAGTTTTCCCATCTGTAAAAAGGGCTAATAGTACTTAACTCAAGTCTGCTCTGAGGACTGGATGAGACAACCCAAGGGAAGCATGTACAATGGTCCCAGGCGAAGACAAGCGCTCAGCAAAGCTTCCCGAACTCGTCTACAACTTTGCAAACCCTTTGAAACCTGGAATGGCTTCCACAATATCTCATATAATCATGGATTAACTTCAGTCTCCATTCATTCATTCATTCAAAAAATACTTACTACATATCTGTTCTGAACAAGGTACCTTTCTATGCCCTGGAGGTAAAGAAGCAAACAAAACCAACACATGATGAAATTATTTAAACTACAATCACTCGGTAGAGGCACAGGAGAGGATGCATTTCCTTTTGAGAACTGCATGCCACATTGGAATGAGGGTCCCAGGGCAGGAATGAGGGTCCCAGGGCAAGAATGAAGGTCCGGAGATGTTCAAAGGAAAGTAGTGCACAAAAATGAGGTCCTAGAGATCAACCCTGCCACCTACTGAGAGCTGGTTCTGAATTCTTTCTTCTGGCCATACCCACACTTACTTGATGCTGTGCAGCTTTCTTGTGACTATCATTGGAAAATCGACTTCAAAATATTTACTTGGGAGAAGATCCTGATCCTGAGGAGAAAAACACAGTAATCTTTAGAATCACTTACTCATGCATACATATACTGATCATCTTCATGGATCAAGTATGAGGCCCCAGAGAGCAATGTGGCACTTAAGGATTTCAAATCAGGGAAACTGTATGGTCAGAAATCCATTCTTGTCGAGAGCCAACCAACAGCTGACCCCTGACAGAGTCAGGTCAGATAAGATGCATCTGCACAGCAGAGGCAACTGTAGCCGGATCTCCTGTCTATCTCTTCCTCTATGCCTATCCCTGCTAGCAACAGGTGATGGGATTTTTAGATACCTGTGTGTTATAACAAAAAATCTGCACAATGCCTCTGATTCTGTGAGAAGTGATTTGCTGACCACAGAACAGAAATCCCTGACAACCCTAATGCTGCCTACTTCCACCACCTGGGGAGTTAAGGACAAAATTAAACTTGGGTAGACCAGCTGCCAGAATGCTGGAGGAAGTCATTGCTGGGAATGTCCCTTAAGGAGTCACCACTTAAAAGCTCAAGATTTATTAGAGACACTACCCCTCCCATACCCTGAACAGGAATGTTTATTAGTGAGATCAGGTGGGTGCAGAAGCAGGGAGTTCTGGTTGAATATAATAGTCTCGATACATGGAGGCAAATACAAAGCATGGACCCCCCCAAGATGTATAAATCAAAAGACCTAGGCAGGAAACCAGTTACCTAACCTAGACAAATCTAACCTCAACAGATTTCCATATAACTAATTTCCATATAACCTATAAATCACCCCTTGCACCCTTTTAACTTAGACCAATCCCTAGAATCTTAATAGACACCTACTTATTAATTAATGACACCTGAAAGTTTGTGCCCATATAGCTTTTTTGGCTGATTGATAACCCTCTTGGTCAAAATAATCTTTGTATAACATGACTGATCTGTAAAACCTTCTGTGCTTTTCGAAGTTGTTTCTATGGTAACCATTTCTGTTTTAATAATCACACTATGCACCTGCTCCAGTGAATGCTGTATAACCTCCCCTATAAAAATAAAGATTGATTCTTCTCGGTGAGTCAGTCGGGCCCAAAAAGCCTGACTGTCCTCCAGCACCCGACCTGGTATCTTGCTTCATTCACTTCACCTGAGCCATTCCGCCTTCAGGGACCCTGAGACCCGCCAAGGCTGGACCCCAGCACATTCTCCCACTTATTTTGGTCTCAGCATGAAGAATGGACAGAGGAAAAAGACAGGAGGCCACTGAGGTTGTCCAGGTAAGAAGTAATGGGGAGCCTGAACTGGGGTCATGATCGCTGGGATGGAGGGGGCGATAAGAGATACTTCAGAAATAGAACATGACATTATTTCCAAAAAGAGGCTTGGAACCTAACAGCGCAAGTCAGAAAATTAATGTATGTAGCAGGTCTGACCAGCAGTTAGGGGATAAAATAGGATAAAATAGCAAATATCAGAAAGCATGACATCTGCCCTGACTGGTGTGGTTCAGTTGGTTGGGTGTCATCCCAGAAAAACTGAAGTCACTGGTTTGATTCCTGGTCAGAGCTTATGCCTGGTTTGTAGGTTTGGTCCCCAGTCAGGGCACATAAAAGGAGCAACCAATTGATTTTTCTCTCTGGCATTGATGTCTCTCCTCTTTCTACCTCCCTAGCCCTCTCTCTAAAACTAAATAAATAATATCTTTTAAAAAAAGAATTCATTAAAAAAAGCATGACATGGAAAAAGGATTAGTATTATTTTGATATACATTTATTTTTCTTTCTGTGAAAGTTGAGCACAGCGGAAAGGTTTAAAAAAAAACAAGTACTCTAGAGCCCAGGGACAAGGGTTCAAATCATAGCTCTACCACTTGCTTGCTGTGAGGCCTCTAGAAAGTCACTTAACTCCCTGGGCCAAGGTTTCCTCACCTGAAAAGTACAGAAATGACAACACCTCATGGTGTTTTGACCATTAATGAGGAAATACACAAGTGACATTCAGAACAGGGCCTGCCTTAGTAAGCCCATATGTGTTCCTATTATTTATTATTTACAGACATAGGTACATAGATGGGGGTCCTGGCTGAGGGTGTACATTTATTTTCTACTGTGGCCTGCAGTAAAAAAACATGTGAAACACACACACACACACACACACACACGGCCCTGCTTTCCTTTCCTGCTTTTGCTAGCTTATTTGGGACCATTCTCAAATGCCTCCTCTTCCTGTTGGCTCTGTTACCACCTACACAGACTGTAACACCCCTCTGGTGACTCTCAAGAATACATGTCATGTTGTAGCAGCTATTCATGCCTGAGAACCAGCCAGAAACGAGGTGCTCCACACCTGGCCTACCTGACTAGTGGCTTCCCCAGAGACACATTTAACAGCCTTGCACCCACCTGCACTTATATTCCATTCAAATGTAGAACTAATGTATTTTTTAAAAAGACAAAAAAGAAGAAAGAAAAGAAAGTTGCTGACATCCAAAACGTGGTGGTAGCTATAATGCTGCACGACGGGATGAATGGCAAGGCTGACTGACACTCTTGTTTCTAACTTGAGCAACTTGCATAACCAAGTATGCAGACAGTAACAAGAGATGGAGAACAGGTACAGATGGCAGCAGACAGACATCCCTGAGGACTGCAGAATGGGGGCAGAAATCATGAGCAAGCATTTCCGAGTAGGCAGGGGACCCCTAAAGGCGAGTATTGGAATTGTGGGATCAGCCATTCCTCACCCATGTGGAGAATGGTCCTCAGATAAAATCTCAAGGGATCTGGCCTGGGGAAAAAAGGGGAAGGTAAGGAGTGGGAAACAGAAAAAGGGAGAGAGAGAGAAGAAAGGAAAAAAGGAGAAAGAAAGAAAAGGACAAGAGCAGATTATACCCTTTACCATACAATATTGCTACAAACTGAATGATCATTAAATTTCTATTACACCCTATATATTGTATCTCCTGTACCTGCTTACCAGGTGCAAAGTCCTTCTTGCATGCAACTTCAACCATATATCCTATAGCACCCCAGTGCAGTATTGACTCCTATATGAAGTGTACCATGTCACTACATCCCACATCTCTGATCAGCCCTCTGGCCCAGCAGACGAGTCATCTGTCACATGGAAGCTCCAAACACACCTACCTACAACCTCAGCTCTGCAAGGAGTCTATTTGCCTCAGTACACACAAATGCAGATGACAGCAGTTCCTGTTGAAGAGACAAGTGTCTGTAGAGATGTCTAATGACAATTCTCCATATACTTTCAACCCAGTAACCGGAAGATATACAGAAGGGTGTTCTTACATGAAGAAGACTGTGAAGGCAGAACAATCATGGGTTTTTCTGATCAACTGTGCTTTGGGAAAGTATTAACAGTTTTGTACAGGTTCCTGAAAACATTATTTATAGGGAAAGCAACAAAAACTATTTTTTGGTTTAAGTTCTATAAGGTGCACAATACCCTCAAATTATTCTAGTAGCTGTTTCACTGAACAACTTGTTTTTAGGGAGAAAAATTTATCAAATGTTATTGCAAAAAGAAAGAGGAAAAAGACAAGAAAAAGGGGGAAAATGAAACTTAATTTTCTGGATACGAACAAACACCATAAAGACTTGTGATTATGCCTTGGCTGGTGTGGCTCAGTGGATTGAGCACTGCCCTGCAAACCAAAGAACTGTTGCTTTGACTCCCAGTATAGGGCACATGCCTGGGTTGCAGGCCAGGTCCCCAGTAGGAGGTGCACAAGAGGCAACCACACATTGATGTTTCTCTTCCTCTTTCACTCCCCTCCCCTCTCTAAAAATAAATAAAGTCTTTTAAAAAAGACTTATTATGTGACTGAATTTTTGTGATAATTTGTGTTTGTGTTTTTCTCAGCCATATGAAATAGGCTTTCTGACGTTTAACTAGTCCAACTTCACCCATGAAGTTCTGTGCCTGCTGTGCGACTGTCATTCAGTGTTGCCCTCAGTGTCTCTTCTTTGCTTTCTATTTTCTTTCAATGTAGTGTGAAGCATCTTATTCTTTTCTAAGAATTCCAATTTGCCTTAACTCTTTTGATGCTGCAGCCATTTAAGTAAAAGTTCGAACTAATGTAGAATGTTTTGATGCTGCAGCTATTTAAGTAATAGTTCAAACTAATGATGTAGAATGTTTTGACCAAATGAGCTGGTCTACAATCCCTCATAAAACAGCAGTGTAGAGCTTTTAAAAGGCATAAAAGAGGTTAAGGGGGAATAAATGGTAATGGAAAAACTATAAAAAAAATCCAAAGAAGTGGAATTCCTATATCAAAAGATGTATAGGTGTGAAATTTATAAGAAATGGTCAATTAAAAATGAGTTGAAACATTTTACATCCTTACTAGCAATATATGTGAGATGTAGTTACTCAGCATCCTTGCCAACATGTCATTGTCAGTCTTTATGACTTTAGGCATTTTTATGGATGTGTAGTAGAACCTCCCTCTGGCTTTAATCTGTATCCTCTAGAGCACTGATATTGAGCATCTTTTAATCTGACTATTGGACCTTCACATACCTTTTTGAAAGTATCTGTCAAAGTCTTTTGCTCCTTTATACTGAATTGGTTTCTTTTTATTATTGCTTTGTATGTGTTTTTCATATACAATAAAGTAAACTGTTGCATATTTAAAAAGGTAGCCCATAAAAGTTGCTTGTAAAAGAAAAAAATGAATGAAGGAGGCATATACAGTCCTACAACTTCTACAGTATCTTGATTCTCATTATATCCAGAAAAAGAGGTCGCTGTGGAAGAAAAGATTCCAACATGCATACCTGAACCTCTTACAAAACAAACACTCACTCTCATTTTCACGGCCGTGGCAAATGAGGTTACAACTTTTTATTCTGGGATTCTCTGGCTCTTCTGACACTCCACTCCAAAGAAGCTCACATGTCACAGGAACAGGAAGGACACCTAACACCAAGTATAACTCCTAGAGGGCAGCCAGGGGCAGCCAAAACCTCTCAAACTCAAAGGGGACCCAACGGGGCTGACTGCTTCACAAGCTGCCAAAATCAACACTGCTTCCCTATGTACATGATCCTCTGATTGTGTATAAACAGCATTCAGGCAACACCAAAAATTCAGGCCCCGTGAAGGGTTTCACTCAGCATTTATTCTTTGTTAATGACAATACTGGAACCTTTCCTTTCCCTATTTTTGCCTGCTGCCTGAAGATGGGAGTCTTCAATCATCCAAGTAGTCTTGGGTCCCTGAGAGCCCATGAACCAGCTCATACAGCAGTGGCAGCAGAAAGCCTGTGATTCCCAGCTAAGACTCTGCTGGGGCATCAAAGCACTATGCCAGGTAGAAGTTAGATGAGATAACAAGATCAATGGACACAATTTTCCTTACTCTTTCAGAAGCACAAATATCTCTAAAAACAAGGATTAGCAAACTTTCTGTAAAGAGCCAGGAAGTATTTTAGTCTTGCAGGCTCCACTGTCATAACTACTGGACTCTGCTATCACTGCTCTAAAGCAGCAATAGGTAAGATATGCCTAAATGGAGTTGCTGTGCTCCAATAAACTCGATTCACAAAAGTAAGTGGCAGGCCAGTGGCCCACACAACTTTGGCTCTAAGAGAGCAAAAAAGCATAATTTTGTTCTTTTCAAAAAGAGGAACTTCAATTAAAAAAAAAAAAAACCTCTTTACAGCAACAAAAACACTTCCACAAAGGACTTTCAGACCATATGTTGTTCTCCTTCCTCACTACTGATGGACGACCTTTTCCTTGGAAGGGGCACCTAAGCCTTGATATAACTTGTTCAGAAATAAAAACCTCAGATTTGTTATTAACCCATCTACAAAACAGGAAAAATAAAAACCAGACATGACTAGGTCAAAAGGTGTCAGGCGCAGAAGAGGGATTTCTCCCAAGGCCCGTCAGCACCCCACCACACACTCCCCTCCAGTGCCTTCCGCCATGACCTGGTCACTACATGACAGGCACAATGGACCCCCAGAAAAGATGCCTCCAAATGAACAGAGGGCTGCACTCAGAGGAGAGAACAAGGGATCTGGGAGTTGACAAGCTGGAGCTGAAGGTTTGTTCCATGTTCCAATACACTGGCTGTGCAATCTGGAAAAGATACCAGGTCTTGCAATCCATCTGTGTACACCCCCTCACAAAGCTCTGAAGTGAATTCACAAGGTCCTGTTTGTATTGGGTTGGCCAAAAAGTCCATTACACTTTTTCCATAAAATAAAGAACACATTTTTCATTTTTCACCAGTAACTTTATTGGTCTAGATACGCTGAGTATATTCACCATCTCCTGCCACTGGCTTTTAGTGGGTAATTGCCAGGGGTGCTGCTAAACACCTTCCAATGCATAAGACAGCCCCACAACAAAGAATTATTTGGCCAAAACATCAATAGCACCAAGAAACTTCACAAACCACTTCTGACACATTTGATCAGTTATAGCAACTTCTTCGCAAATTTTTTTTTGCATTTCAGTTGTGTTTTTACCATTCTTGAAATAATAAACCATAATACACTGAAAATGTTACATACATTCTTCTATCTTCAGTATTAAAATGGCTGCACAAAATTTCACCAATTTTGATGAGTTTTTTTTACATGTACACCAATACAACAGCTTTCACAATACAATCAAACAAATCTGTTTCATATGAAAATAAGACAACTAAGCACTACTAGAGCTATCATACGGGAAAAGCCAAACAAACTTTTTGGCCAACCCAATTAAAAGCACTTCATGTGAGTTACTCTTATCCTGAATGCAGAACAGAGGCAACCATTAACACTAAAACCAAGCTGAGGGCACTGAGTTCTTGCTTCAGTAAGAGAAAGGCTGAGAGCTCTAATGACCACAGCCCTTCTTATCAGGTGAGCTGCTATGGAACCAAAGAGATATGCAGGTTGGGTTATACCCATACATTCTAATTTATCTTCATGTCCACCTGCAAGAAATCTGGGGAAACGCGTGTATTCATTACTGCCTCATGACTGACCTCAAAGAACAAGGAAAAATCTGTACAAACCTATAAAACAGGAAATGTGATCAATGAGGTCCTTGTAGAGAAAGGAATTGGCAGAAAAATTCCAGCCCAGGAGTCAAAGATCAGCACCGTTGTTCTGGTTCTGCCACTGACTAAACCCAACTTCCTTTTCCTGAGAGTGTTTCTGTACCTATTCTTGAACCCTAACAGATCAGTTAAGGGACCAAATCAAAGAATGGCACCCTGGCTGGTGTAGCTCAGTGGACTGAGCGCGGGCTGCAAACCAAAGTGTCGCAGGTTCGATTCCCAGTCAGGGTACATGCCTAGGTTGCAGGCCATGACCCCCAGCAACCACACATTGATGTTTCTCTCTCTCTTTCTCCGTCCCTTCCCTCTCTAAAAATAAATAAATAAAATCTTTAAAAAAAAAAAATGGCTACAAAAGGGCTCTGTATCACATTACTATCACCCCACCATGCAAACCTCCAAACCTTACCCAAAACACCATTATGCTGACAACAGAATCTTAGTTATCATCAAATTACAAATGCACATGCTCTTTGTCTCAACAATTCCACTAGTAGAATTTTTTCTCCTGATATATTTCCACACATGCAGAGAAAAACATACACAGGATTGTTATTAATACTCTGTTTGTAACAGCAAGAGATGAGAAACAACCCACATGTCCTTCACTAGGACCCCAGTGCGATGAAATATGGGGCTGACAGTGGCTGGAAGCATGCAAACAGCTGGGGACAGGGCTGGGAGACGGGCTGTCACTGCATACATTTTAATATATTCTTTAACTTTTTCAAGCAGGTAAATGTCTTCAAAAATGAAATGTAAACAATTGGGGAAAGAGGAGGAGGAATTTTAATGTACCTTTAATATCCAGAAGGTGGTATCCATCCCAGCCCCGAGGTTTATAACTTGACAATGACATTCTGTCTTCCGCAGAAATGCCTTTGTAAGCTGATTGATGCCATGAACTCGAGCAAAATAGCCTAAGAGAGAGACATGGAAACAAGCTATTCCTTAGTCACGACAGCAGCGATACTTGCAAAGTCCACCAGAGAACAAAAACAGAACATTCCTGCCTGCCTCAACCGTCAGCAGTGTCACTGTAGACATTATGTGAGACATGGCAACTTCCAAATTCTCTCCCTGCTTTTTTTAAAGCTGTCTGATCCAAAGCAAGCACAATCTATTTAATGGTGGAATTAACTATCTTAAGAAAAATAAATTGCCCTATAATTTTACTTAAAAAAGACAAGGGTCTTATATGAAAACATTTGATTTAAATGTTCCTCCTGGAAATGACCTCTGGGAATTTGACCTCTTGACCTTTTTCATGGCCACAGAGAAAGCTAGTCGGTACTCCAATAAAACTCAAAATTGCAAAATCTAATGGAAAATATTTTTAAGTGAGGAAATTAGGGAGATAAATGTCAAAGCAAAGAAAGTGGTATTTCATCAAAGCCCTGCAGCATTAGAGCCTCAACCTTTATCTAAAAGCATCAGAAGGGGCAGGACAGGGCAGCAGCACTGGGCTGCCTGATGAAATGACTTGTTAAGCTCTGGGCTGGGGAGATAGGGTATGGGATGTGGGAAATACAGAAGGCAGAAAGAAACCCCGCTGCTCAAAGTGCACATATTCTAAGAACCAAATTTGAGAGTAGCATTTAGGACCTTTTATTGCAACTTCACAGGAATTTTATGTCTGTTGAATCTACTCATAAATAATTTGGGCTTGTAATTCATATGTCTTCATTTGTTTTTCTAGTAAATCACTTATTACATTTTATAGAAATATACACAATAGATTGGGTATTGGAAAAATACATATCCTTACCACACACTGTTTGGGAAGCACTCTCCTAGTGGGTTGCAGGTCCCCAAACTAGAGATTCAAACCCAGAATGACAAGAAGGAAGGAAGGAGGGCTGAAATGCTGCCTGGGGCACCGAGACAGTCACTATGGCAGGTCCCTGCCTCTGGAGCATTCATTAGGAAACCTGCACCCTGAGAACAGGAAGAAGGCCGAAGACCTTTTAGGCAGGTTTTGCTCAATCTTACTGATGTGTGGTTTCATCAGCTCAAAGTAAATATCACATCCTTATTCTTGGAAATCCCCATTTTAACATCTGTATGCATTTCTTTTTTTGTTATTTTTTATTATATTGTATTGGTTATGCTATTACAGTTGCCCTGATTTTTTCCCCCTTTGCCCCCCTCCGCCCAGCACCACACACTCCCTCAGGCAACACACCCATCATTTTTCATGTCCATGGGTCATGCCTATAACTTCTTTGGCTATTCCATTTCCTACAGTGTACTTTACATCCCCATGGCTATTCTGTGATTACCTATTCGTACTTTTTTTTTTTAAGATTTTATTTATTTATTTTTACAGAGGAGAAGGGAGGGAGAAAGAGAGGGAGAAAAACATCAATGTGTGGTTGCCCCTTGAACGCCCCCTACTGGGGACCTGGTCTGTACCCCAGGCATGTGCTCTGACTGGAAATCAAACCAGCAACCCTTTGGTTTAGAGGGCAGTGCTCAATTCACTGAGCCACACCAGCCAGGGCCCAATTTGTACTTCTTAATCCCCTCACCTCTTCACCCATTCTTCAACATCCCCTTCCCATCTGACCAACATCAAAATGCTTTCCGTATCCATGATTCTGTCTCTGTTCTTGTTTGCTTAGTTTTTTTAGATTCAATTGTTGATAGATATGTATTTATTGCCATTTTACTGTTCACAGTTTTGACCTTATTATTCTTAAATAAGTCCCTTTAACATTTCATATAATAATGGTTTGGTGAGGATGAACTCCTTTAGCTTTTTCTTATCTGGGAAGAATACTGTATGCCCTTCCATTCTAAATGATAGCTTTGTTGAATACAGCAATCTTGGCTGTAAGTCCCTGCATTTCATCACTCTGAATACTTCTTGCCAGTCCCTTCTATCCTGCAAGGTTTCTTTTGAGAAATCAGCTAACAGTCTTATGGGAACTCCTTTGTAGGTAACTTTCTCCTTTCCTCTTGCTGCTTTTAAGGGTCTCCCTTTATACTTAAACTTTGGCATTTTAATTATAATGTGTCTTGGAGTGGGTCTCTTTGCATCCATCTTGTTTGGGATTGTCTGTACTTCCTAGGCTTGCATGTCTACTTCCTTCACCAAATTAGGGAAGTTATCTTTTATTATTTTTTCAAATAGATTTCCAATTTCTTGCTCCTTCTCTTCTCCTTCTGGCATCCCTATGATGCAAATGTTGGAACACTTGAATTTGTCCCAGAGATTGCTTATAATATAGTCATTTTTTAGATTCTTTTTTCTTCGTGTTATTCTGATTGGTTGTTTCTTTGCTTCCTAATGTTCCAAATCATTGATTTGATTCTCTCCTTCATCCACTTTACTCGTTTCCCTTGGAATTGTTCTTTATCTAGCATACCCTTCATTTCTGACTGGCTCTTTTTATGCTGTCCAGGTCCTCACTAAGTTCCTTGAGTATCATTATAACAAGTGTTTTGAACTCTGCATCTGATAGATTGCTTATCTCCATTTTGTCTAATTCTTCTTCTGGAGTTTTGAGCTGTTCTTTCATTTGTTCCAGGTCTCTTTGTCTCCTCGTTTTGGCAGTCTCCCTGTGTTTGTTTCTATGTATTAGGTAAGGCTGCTTTGATTCCCTGTCTTGGTAGTATGGTCTAATGTACTAGGTGTCCTGTATGGTTCAGTGGCACAGTGCCCCCTATTACCCAAGCTGGATACTCAAGGTGCACCCTTCATGTGGGCTGAGTACACCTCCTCTTGTAGCTGAGCCTTGACTGTTGTTGGCAGGCCAATGGGAGGCATTTACCCAGCTGCAAGGACTGGCTGTGACCACTGATCATCACCCTCTCCCCTCCATGGAGGATGATCTATGCAGGGACAAGCTGGTGGTACTCTGACATGGTCTGCAGCTGCCCACTGGGTGCACAGGTTCTGGGGTTTCTCGCGTGGTGCAGGATAAGGTCAGTCCCCACCTATGTTTTGCCAGGGGCTACCTGCCTTGGTTATAAAGCAATTTGAGATGGCTGCTACTTGTGCTCGGCTTGGAGATTCTCAGACAAAGCCAAGCTGCGAATCTAGGCTGGCTGCTTCTAGTGCCAGGCTTGGGGTTCACTGAGGACAGCTGCTACTTGTTTGAGAGGGTTTAGGAAATTGTGAAACATGAGCCAAGACCAACCACTGATGTGGAAAAGCAGCTTGGGGGGCCTATAATTTGGGTGGGGCAGAATCAGGGGATCTCCAGAATGGGGCAAACAGTTTTAGCCAGGTTGATGAACTCTCAGATATGGCAGCAGCTTGCCAATTCTGTGGCTCTATGGGGAGAGGGTTCAGAAAAGGGACAATGGCTTCTGTTCACCTAGATGACAGACACTTCAGTTCCTCCCTGTATGCCACTAGTGCCTTTCAAGATGCTCCCCTGGTGCTGGACCTCAGAGGAAGTGAGTCTAAGTAGGAGAGTCAATGTGTGGGTTCTTTAAGAGGAACTGCTTGGAGCTCCAGACGTTTCTTCCACTGACTCAATCCCTGCTGGTTTTCACAGCCAAAAGTTGTGGGGACTTACCTTCCTGGCACTGGAATCCTGCATTGGGCGGGGCCTGGTGTGGGGCTGGGACTCTTCCTTTCTGAGACATCCATCCCAAGTTTTACCCACCACACATGGGTCAAGGGCCAGCCTGTTTCGGTGTCTGTGCCCCTCCTATCTGTCTGGATGGATGTGGTTTCTTTAGTTTCATAGTTGTCAGACTTCCATTCTACTCGGTTTCTGGTGGTTCTGAGTGGTAGTTGTTTTGTTTTAGTTGTAATTTTGATGTGACTGTGGGAAGGAGGCAAGCCACGTCTGCCTAGGCTGCCATCTTGACCAGAAGTCCTCTTTGCATTTCTTATAGACCCTACTTTTAGGATCTAGTCTCAGAGTCAACATTCCCTAAACACACAGGAATGGTTGTCAATTGGTCAATTTCTCGGTCTGGCTGAAACAAGTCAGGTCTATCAAGTCCTTTGACTTCCCTGATGGAAATTACTTACAGAGCCTAATGACATAACCAAAAATGTACTAAAGCAACAAAATGTAATCCCTTATGTGAACAGACACTTCACAGTAAAAGCTATATTTATATATACATACACACACACACATAAAAATATAAATAAGTGAACCCTGGCCAGGTAGCTCAATTGGTTAGAGTGTTGAGTGTTGTCCCAATATACCAGTTGCAGGTTCTATCCCAGTCAGGGAACATACAAGAATCAACCAACGAATGCATAAATAAGTGAAAGAACAAAATGATATTTCTCTCTCTCTCTGTGTCTCTCTCTCACTTCCTCTCTCTCTCTAATATCAATAATTAAACATTTTTTAAAAGGTATATAAATGGCTTTTCAACATATGAAAATGCTCTTCAACCTTACCCATAAGAGGAATAAAAAATAAAATTATCCTAAGATACCATTTCACATTATTAGATTAACAAAGATTTTAAAACTTTACACCAGGCCCTAGTCAGATGGCTTGGTTGTTGGAGTTTCGTCCCATACACCAAAAGATCATGGATTCAATCTCCAGTCAGGGCACATACTTAGGTTGTGGGTTTGATCTCTGGTTGGGGCACATACGGGAGGCAACTCTTTGGTACCTCTCTCTCACATTGATACTTCCACCTCTCTCTCTCTCCCCTGCTTCCTCCTTCTCTAAAACCGATAAACATATCTTCAGGTGAAGAGTTAAAAAAAAAGCTTCATACAATGGCCAAGATCTGATAATTATTGAAACTGATCCACATATGATTCTACTTTTATATAGTTTAAAATTATCTAGCCCTGGCTGGTGTGACTCAGTGGATTTAGTGCTAGCCCGTGAGACAGAAGGTCACCAGTTCGATTCTTGGTCAGGACACATGCCTGGGTTGCAGGCCAGGTCCCCAGTGGGGGGCGTGTGAGAGGCAACTGATCACTGTATGTCTAGCACACCGATATTTCTCTCCTTTTCTTTCTCCCTCCCTTCCCTCTCTCTAAAAAAGAAATAAGTAAAATCTTAAGGAAAAATTATCCATAATAAAAGTTTTTTAAAAAATTTAAAAAGTTTTTTTTAAATAATAAGTTTCATAATACACTGTGTTGTTGAGAATATTGGGAGATAACTACTTTAACATACTATTGGAGAGAGTGCATACTGGGACCCTCTTTTTGGGAATTAATTCCTAAAACTTCAGGCCACTTAGCTGATGAGAAGTTAGGGAGAAAGACAGTCACTTGCCTCTGTTAATTTCAGGGGCCTTCCTCTCTTTAGACAGTCTTACAAGATGCTGGATGTAAGGGTCATCCCAGTAGCCAATGCTTACTGCAAACCTGAAAGGAATGAAAAAGAAAGCATATGAGTAGAGATTGGTGTACTTCTGGCCAAGGTTCAAGGCTACATTCCCAGGAACCAGGTCAAGGATCCAGAGGAAAATTATTGACCTCAAAGGTCAACAAATGTACATTCAGGGTTCCATTACACATTTAAACAGACTCACTCACCTATCTTTATATTTACACACATTTCCCATCATGTTTCCCACAGTGGCCATTTTTCACCTCTGTTTTTCCTCTTATAATTAATTCCTTTCCCAGAATATTAAACAGCAAATAATCTCACCTCATCTTCACATACAGGACTTACAACAATTTATTCACTCAGTAAACTCACTGGCCAAAGCTTTTGGTCAGATAACTCTATTCAACCAAAAAAGTTCTCTGTCGAAAGAAAAGGAAATTCAGAAATATTTGGCAAATATCACTAATAAAGACCTAAATTTTTCTCCTGACTCTGTATTTCACATCCTTTGAGGCAGTCACAGTGGGGAGAGTAGGAATAAACAAAACCACAACTTGGAAAATGCTGTGGTAGCCTAAATTCTCTCTCCCTCAGTTTACACTACATAGAGTTAAATAAAGTTTTAGTGTCCGCGTCTGGGCACTGAAGCCCAATTACACTGGACGTTTTCTGGCAACCATGAGTGGATCCAGCCATAGGACCACTGCCAAGTCATGGAAGGAACCTGGATCCCTAAGGTTAGGCCAGGCCACTGTGGGCCTGGAGACTGCTCTCCCTCTCAAAGGACATTCTGTGAGATAATAAACGTCTTTACCATCTGAGCCAATCTGAGCCAGGCTTCCATTACTTTCAGCCTAAAACATCCTGACTAATTAATACCTGAGTAATGCACTCATTTCCATGTTGCTTAATAAGAAAGCTGAAATTTAAAGGGGGTGTGTATGTATGTTATGTGTTATGTTTCCCAGATAGGTTCTAAACTCCCAGAAGCAGATACTATCTCTTTTCTTTATATCTACTGACAAGACCCTGACTGCAACAGGCACTGATTCTGAAAAAAAAGATGTCCCCTACAGAATCTCACATTTGTTTACCCAACCACAGACACTTGTAAGAAAGCACATGTGTTCAGCTACTCAATGTAATCACTCAACAAAGAATTATACAAAGTATTCACTAAGAACACCACTTGCTGGAAGCCCAGACTGTCCAAGGAAAACAGACCTATAGAGTATTACAAGAGCAAACTTTCTCAGTGGTCCAAAAGTATTTTACAAACAGTGAGTTGTGATGCATCAATATCATAAAATCAATTTGACAGTCTGAAAACTTGCATTAAAAAAAATAAAGAATAGAGTAAAATAGAAAATACCAGCATGCTTTATGCATAGTAAGAGATCAGACTTCTGTGAAGCTTTTGCTTCACGTCCATGTTGGAGGAAATAAGTTTTCTCACTGTGATGAACAGATTTCAAAGGAATCATCTAGTGCCACCTAGTGTTCATGTCATTCTGCATTGAAGGAAGAATGGTAGCCTAATGATTAGAATACTCATCAAATACTTTAAGGGTTGGAAGAGGCCTTGGAAATGATCTAGTCAACCCCAACATCCAGTACAAGAATTCCTTCAATGCTATCAAGCCACTGCTGGACTAGGCCCCACAAACAAAGCACTCACTCCACTGCAAAGCAACTGCTGGAAAGCTGATCAGTTGGCCTCCCTCCAAGCATTCCTTGTTGGACTATCACTGCCCTGATGGGTAACAAGGAGCAATTCCTATTCCTCTCAATTCTGTATTACCTGTTGATTTTATACCATCAATTCAGTAGAGCAGTATTTACTGAGTGTCTTCTCAATGCCAGGCACTGGCGATACAGTAGAGAACAAGACAAAGAAGGGCCAGAGGCAAAGATATGACATTATGGCCAATAAAGGGCATGAAGAATGGAGAACAAAGGGATGTCACTGAGAGAAGATAAAAGAAAGCATCTCTGAAAGGGGGATGGTCAAGTTGAGCACCAGAGAATGGAAAGTCACTGTGCAAAAGGTATTTCAGACAGGAGGAAGAGCCACAGAAACACTCTGGTGTGGCAATGGACTTGAAGTGTCCCAGTAGCAGAAAGTAGGCAGGGGAAATGGAGAACAGTAAGAAAACAGGAGAAACTAGGGAAGAGGTTGAAGAGAGATGCAGGCTCAGGTCACAGAGCCTGGCAGGAGCCTGGGTTTAACCTCAACAGTACACCAGATGGCTGAGGAAATGTGCCCATGCAGACACAAGTACATCTGATCACTAGTTTCCTTGACTCCTACTTCCCAGTGTTTCTAACAAGTCCCTTTCCAGTCTTCAGGTCCTCAAACTTAAATGACTGCCAGTGGTTTCCCTGCTCCAAGGGAAAAGGATCTTACTGATTTGCCTATCAGAGTGACAAGATAAAAAGATTCACAATGTGACTGGGAAGAAGAGGAAGATGGCACTGCTCCTAGGAGTTTTGGAGGGAGATTGGCACCATGTTTCAGAATTTACAGACTAACAACTGCAGATTAACTGAACCAATTATGGTATATCTATACACTATACTAACCAGGCACTTAATCTGTGAACGCAAAGAATTGGACATAGAAAGATATTCAAAATACACTGTTAAGAGAAAAAGGGAAGACCAGAAATATAGATAGTGTATATGCCCATAAATACATATGTGTGTGTCTTTACATAGAGGAATTACTGGAGGATTCATACACAAATATTAACAATAATTATCTCTGAGATTTCTGGTGTTCTTTATTAATCTATATTTTTAAAATCTTCTGCACTAACCATATGCCACATTTCATTATATCTAAGATACCCTCAGTTGTAACACACAGAAAAACCCACTGCCAATTAATTGACTTAATGTTTTATTCTCACTTAGGAATTTTACTTCTGTGCTTATTGAAAGTACTATTTAGACAGACTATCATAACAGACATAAAAAGGAAAAGAAGGAAGATGGAGACATAAGTAAACGCAGCTCGCCTCACTGCACAACCACAGAAAAATTACAGCTAAACTACAGAACAAATGTCACTCAGAACTGTCAGAAAATCGAGCTGTGTGGTAGTCAAATAACAAAGGAATTAATGAAACCACAGTTATCCAGATGGGTAAAAGGCATGGAAGGGGGAAGACATGGAACTGGCTGGTCCCAAACCCACATGTAGTGGACATAATATGGATGGATATGCTGGGATCAAGGGACCCCAGCCCCATACCAGACCACCAGGCCAGGTTCCAGTGCCAGGAAGATTAAGTCCCCATAACTTCTGACTATAAAACCTAGTAGGCATTGGGTCAGTGGAAGAAACTACAAGATCCTCTCTTAAAGGGACTCACACCACACACGGACTTACTCAGACTCGCTCCTTCTGGGCTCCAGTACTGGGGCAGTACCTTGAAGGACATCAGTGGCATACAGGGAGAAACTGAAGTGTCTAGCATCAGGGCGAGAGCAGAGGGACAGCTTCCTGCCAGACTGACTGTAGAAAGTGGCCACTGTAACTTTTCTAAGCCCTCCCCCACACAGAGCCACAGTGCAGGTGCACCATTTGTGAATCTACATCAACCTGGGTCAGCCCCACCCTGACTAAGGCTCCACCCCGTCCAATTTACAGGCCCGCCCAAGTTGGTATCAGTGGCTTTTCCATATGAAGGGCCAGGCTAGACCAGGCTTCAGACCTTCCTAAATCCCCTGCAAACAAGCAACAGCTGAGCCCAAACCACCCTCCCTCTTGCACTGTGTGGCTTTATAGCTTAAGCCAAGGGGTCCCAGAGAGAACAAAGGTGGAGACTGACCTTGGTCTGCACCACCTGGTCTACCCCAGAGCCTGCACACCCAGCAGTGTTACAGACGAGGTCAGACCACCACCCAACCACCTCTGCAAGCCAAAGAGGGAGGTGTTTGTTGGCCAGGGATCACAGCCAGTCCTACCAGCTCTCTGGGCTGGGTAAATCCCTCCCATTAGCCGGCTGACAGCAATCAAGACTCAGCTACAAGAGGTGGGAATACTCGGCCCACATGGAGGGAACACCTCGAGTACACACCTTGGGAGATAACGGAGTATGACATTAAGCCACACTATAAAGATAGGGAGACACAGCAGTTCTACCTAATACATAGAAACCAACACAGGGAGGCTGCCAGAATGAGCAGACAAAGAAATATGGCCCAAATGACAGAACAGAACAAAACTCCAGAAAAATAGCTAAATGAAATGGAGATAAGCAATCTATAAGATGCAGAGTTCAAAATACTGCTTGTAAGGATGTTCAAGGAAGTGAGTGGGTGCTTCAAGAGAATAAAAAAGACCCAGGCAGAAATGAAAGATATCTAATTGAAAAAAAGAACAATTTACAGGGAGTGGATAAAGCCAAAAATCAAATCAGTAACTTGGAACATAAGGAACAAAAAGACATCTAATCAGTATGGCAAGAAGATAAAAGAATCCAAAAAAATCAAGGATAATGTAAGCAGCCTCTGGGACAAGTTCAAATGTTCCAACATTCACATCACAGGGGTGCTAGAAGGAGAAGAGATAAGAGCAAGAAATTGGAAACCTATTTGAAATAATAATAAAAGAAAACTTCGGGAGTTCCGGCCAAGATGGAGGCATAGATAGAAACCCTTGGCTTCCTCACATAACCAAAAGGAGGATAACAATCAATCTAAAATCAATAAACAACCAGAAGGAGGATAACAACCGATCTAAAATCAATAGACAACCAGAAGGGCCAGAAAATCAAACTGCATGAAACTCTGACAACCAAGGAGTTAAAGAAAAAGTCAACCAGAACAACCAGATCAGTAAGAAACAGCAGCGGACCACATGGACAGGTCGGCTGACAGCAAAACTGAGACTCAGAACTGACTGTGGACTACAGCGGTTGCTGCGGTGGGAGAAACTCCCAGTCTCACACAAGAGTTCACTGAAAAGTGTGCTAGAGCTGAGCAAGCAAGCTGCATTGTCCCCTGTCTGGTTCCTCTCCCTCAG